TGATTCCTGGGTAATATAGTAGAGTGTATATATTGGTTTGCCATGTTTGGGTAGTGATAGCTGGACGCATGATGGTGATCATGATGCTGGAGGCCCCACATCTTGGAGTGCAACATGTCCGAATCCTTCCTACACTTGGGATCAGCTTGCATCATTCTGAAGCTTTGACCCATGCCACCCCTACGAACTTGTTGAATCAGTGTTCAGTTTCTATAGCTGTTGTGAGTTTCTAGCTCAGATATTACGTCATGGAGTGATGGAGTTTGGTCACTCTGAAGCGTAAGTGAAGACCTCTGCATGGCTGATGTTGAACATGTTGGAGCTTGAACTGTTCCCTGTCCACCTTCTACAGAAAGCTGTTTCCAACACTTTCGATCATCAAATCAACCATTCTTCACCAACTCGGAGTGCATCTCCTGTCGCCAGAAACTCGGGGTTGGAGAGCCTCCGATCCATCAATTGTCCTCGGCCCCTGCAGATCAGGGTGTCCAGGCCCCACTTCTGACCAAGCCCAAAGAGATGAGCCTGGCAGAGTCGGCCCGGTCTGCATGCGCGGGGAGTGGTGGGCCTCCCCAAAAACAGGGTTAAGAGTGGTATCATGATGTATCCTGTGGCATCGTAATACATCCTATTGGCGCTAATGAATCCTCTTGCAGCAACTCTCAGGTTCCAAGCCTCGGGACGAAAAAGACACATAGCAACGGCGCATCTTGCAGGGGGGACTGGAAGCTTCCTGGGGTAACCCCTCGGCCAGGTGTTGAACAGTGGTTCATGTTCCCATTCTTATTCTCCTGCATCTTCCTCCACACCCTGGATGTGACAATCCAGGTTGGATGCTTTTTTTGCCGAGCCAAGCAGTCATGTTCCTCCGCCGACCATCGGAGCCCCCCCGGAGTTCGAGGATCCAGAGTACGGGATTGCCCCAATCAAGCAGTCAACCCACAATCAATCCACCATAACCCATTTGACCATCATACGAATGCCGTGGGGCAAAGCAAACACCAACAAACAATAAACCATATGTCAGTATAATTAATGAATCTTGTAACTATAAACATTTACAAACTAAAATCACTTTGCAACCAGTGCAGGCAAGCAGCGGCAAAATTGGACTCCAGGATTGATCTCCCTGAGTGCTTTTCGTGAATGCAAATGGTGGGCACCTCCCGGTGTTCCAGCAGTGGTTCGGTTCCTCAATCATATGGAAGTGAATGGATCCACTGTCACCCTCTGAAAAGGTGAGTGATGTGTTCCAACACTTTCACACTCGGAACACATTCCATGGAAGTGGATGGCTCCCTCCCTGTTTGTAGAGGAAAACACTCTTCCATGCAAGGGGATGGCTGCCATCCACTTCCAGCGGAATGTTTCGGGTCCGGACGGGCCGAATCTCCGGTGGCAGTGGATCCCGAACGAAAAGGTGAATATGGCTTGTCCCTTGCGATGCCTACCTAATGACACATGGGGACATGAAGTCCACGTTCATATGTTCTCAGTCGAAAAACCGGAGGCCCGGAGGCCCTGCACTCCGCGCAAGATGGGAACCCCTGCAAAATGACAAGGGGGGATTTGATGGAAACACTTACGTTCATGGGAATTGAACCAACAATTAAAGCATATGCAAATAAACAACAACAACAACAACAACAACAACAACAACACCGAGGAGAGCGATGATACAGTATGCGATCATCCAGCATGTTGGACTGGCACAGCTGCGTGACTGTTTGGTCCTTTGGCACAGGCCGAGACGGTGGAAACGATGCTTCGCAGTGGGTGATCAACTAAGACCATTCAAAGGGTGTAGGTCGAACAGTCAAAAAGCAAAGTGTCATGTCTCTCCAATTATATATAGATCTCTCCAGTTCTATATATATAACCACAATATCCAATAGAAAAGAGCTCGACAACATCTACGCTGTATCCTCATGTATCCTCTCTCCCTCCTCCTCCACCTACCAGGGAGCCAAGCCAATGTGACGTTGATCCAAGCCCATGCAAGCCACCTGGGGGCGGTGGCTTACCACGTGCTGTTCCGAGAAGGGCGCTCTGCAGCACCCCCACACGCGCCGCGCCCCTCGCACGTGCCGGACGCTTTCAGGTTGCTTGTGTGGGGGAGCCCCCCCGAAGTGCCGCACGCCACCCAAAGGGATTGGACCACGGTGAAGATTTATTTATATGAGGAACAGTGAAGCACTGGGGTGCACCGTTCCAGATCCCAACAAGCAACAATGCCTGCCCCCTGCTCTGCGAACGATCCTGAACTTCCTTGTGGCCTTGCGACTGTCGAAGCGCCAACTGAACGTAAAACAAACAACACCTTCTATACCGCACAGGAAGCCAACAGTGCGGGGCGTTCTATTCATCCTATAGTCTTGAATGTTCCTATGTTCCTTGTGCGAAGCGAACAATTCTGTTCTCGCCCCCATGCTGCAGCACCTTGACAATGCGAGCATCCAGCCCTCCTGCAATCATCTGGCGAAGAAGTAGAGGCTGCTCCTGAGAATCCAAGCATGAAGCAAATGTTCCCGATCCCATATGTTTCATAAATATCACTACATACTCCTGATACCATGACAAAACTCGACAGTCTTCATTCCTGCGCTCTCCAACAACTTCCGTCTTATTTGTTGGATTTCTTCCAAAGCGCCATCTACGAGGAAGCCAGTGGTTCCAAAGGATAACAGCATAGACCAAAAATGCTGAAACCCTTGTTCTTTGCTAGCTGTTATAGAATCGGTGTCATCGGTCAACTTCCGCTTACATGAAAAGAACATGGACAAGCTAACACCACCAGTCCCGAGTCCTCCCGAGTTGCTTTCTACCCGCGCTTTGGCCCGATCCTCATCGGCACATCGGCCGGCCGGTGCTCCTGGCGCCAAAGGAAGGCCAAGACCTTCAGCTTCAAACGGCCACAAACGTGTTCCACGCGGCAGCGCTGATAATCGCCTGGGTCGAAAAGCCGAGGAAGTCGACTAGTCTTCCAAGAAACCATGCCATCTACTTCCATGTGATGTGTTCGTCAGTGCATCAACATATGGCTGTGGGTCATGGCACACGCGGAGACCGACCGGGAAAAACCGACCTGGAAGGTCGTTCGCAGGCAAATGGTGGACTGGTCGGGCTCCAAGTTTTGACCGAGCCACATACGAGATAGTCTACCATAGGAATTCTGCTCAAAAAAGGAGTGTTTTTTTTTGTATTATAATGCATTATATAATTCGGTCCAAGATCATCCAAGATCTAGGTTACTCTGCCTGTGAGAACCACATGATTTCAAACCACCGATCAAGCTCAGTCGGACGAACAGTTCTCACCAAGGGTCTTAGAATCGCCCCACAGCTCACGGCCTCCACCCCCGGAAAGGCCTGGAACCACTGTCGTGGCAGGAACCGAACGCTGGCAGGACGAAACGAAGTGGATACCAGTCGTCCTTCTAAAAAGAGGATCCAAGTAGACATCGATGTCTGGTTGAAGGATGCAAGTAGCACCTTGAGGTTTTGTATTGTGTGGATCTTCTGAGTGTTTGTCTGCCATGAAACAAATATGAAGGTGACAGGTGACATCCAATTCCCGCAGTGTCTTGGGCTCTTTCATCTATACTTACCTAAAGCCCCTTTGACCTCTGTGCTCATAGGAAAAGACAATATTTTGATATATTTTGGGTGATTGGTGGTCCAAAAAGAGGTCACTCAGGTTCTAAGTTCTAGGTACTTGTTTCATTACATGAGGCCAATAGGTCCCTATCTCTTGACCTTCCAAGCAACAAAATCTGCCATGCTCGGACGGAGGAGGATAGTGTGAATGGAGGCTGCAACTCCGCCTCAAAATGCCCCCAACATGTGTGTGTTTCTTTATAATATAGGGAGATCCCCAACCAATAGGTGTTGGTCTTTCTCGGGGATTGTTGACTGGGAGGTCTCCCTATTTGAATGCACACTCATGTGGAAGAAAACGACACCAGGCCGCCTGCAGGACATCTTGCAGAAGGAGTGTGAGATCCTCCACCTGCAAAGTTTAGAGAACGACATCGGACACCCCCAGTCGTCTCGGACATCGGAGATGATCGGAGTGCACGGACGACTTCCCAGTCTGGTCTGACGACTTCCCACATGGTCTGACGCTTCGAACGAAAGTCTCCAGCACATGGGTGCACGGAGTGAATGTGACCAAACTGTTGCGCAAGGGGGAACATGATCCTCAATGTGACAGCTGTGAGGCTGTGAGGATTTGTTCCTGTCGGACAATCCTCTGATGGCATCGGACATGGAGAACCTTCAACCGTTCACGGCTCCAAGTTCCTTCGGACTGGTAGATTCTGCCGAGTCCAGATTCTACAGAGCTCCCGGACTCCTTTGGACCCCAACGTGACTTCGAATGGTAGGAAATCAAAGTCATTGCGCTCTGAGTTACCCAAGTAGGTGGTCTTTTAAGTGTCGATGCCTCTGGAACAGGACAACATCCCGCTTGTCAAAAGGCTGAGGACGCAAAACGGTCTGAACGCAGCCTTTTTTCCCCTGCTGCTTATGGACAACTGAGTGTTGGGAATCGAGGATGACCCAACAGGAACAATTTTTTTCTGCATGCTTGACTGGAAGGGACCATTGCAAACCAAAATCTACTCGTTACATCTCGTTACTATTTCTCTCTTATATACTGTGTTCCTCTTTGAGGCGTGTGCTACATGAAGCTTGTTCGAGTGCATGTGCATGAATTTCACGATGTTGCGACGATGTTATAACACCGAGGACCTATATAAAGTGCAAGCAAAATTGTCCCCTTGGGATATCACATCGTTGGCGATGACAGCAAGCACCTGCACTGTGGCGTTCCTACCGGACCGACAAGCTCTCAGCAAATCAGCAAGTCTACCTACTGTTCCTACAGAAACACAAGAGTCACAAGAGATGACATAGCACACATGGCAAAGGCATGGCATTTGGAGGAAGCACAAGGCCATCTAGGTTGAACCCAACTGCTTCCCACCAACTAAATTTATCCTTCCACGACTTCTATCACCCGTACCAGTCCCAGTAATTTAGTAATGTAAAGCTCCTCCAAAACCTGCCCCCAAGTGGCTTGCGCTACCGTGCAACCTGCGTGGCCGTTTAAAATGCCAGCGGTACCATGGCTTGCCGTGACGTGCCACCGGCGAGACCGCCGACTCAGTCGAGGCCCATTTTGCCCATGGATCCGCGCAGGCGCTCCAAATCCTTCGACGACAAGCGTCCAATGCCTTCCAAGGCCTCCTCGGTGATGACCACGATGAAGCGCAGACGAAGCGAGGACGCAGCGAGTCGGCTCGGTCGGAAAACGAAGTCGTTGATCGAATTGGAGAATTGGGGATGATAAACAAGCGGAGGTTGGGAAGCAGTGCAACATGTGGTTTATATAGATGAATAAGCGGTTTACAAGAAGAGATGTGTTTCACATGTGTTCACTTTTCTCATCTTTTCTCTCTCTGACTAGGCGGAGTGTTTCGTTAGTCACAAAGCCATGGGACCAAAAAAGAATGGCAAAGTACCAACATGTTGTTACCAGCCGGGTCTTCTCTTCGCCATCGTCGGAGACTGCGTTTCGGCAGATGGCGTCTGGCAGAGCTCGACGTGTGATACTTGGTTGCGTCTGACAGTGAAAGGAACACTGGATTCTCGGGTGTCTGTCTGTAGAAACCCATTGATCACTTTGTGTAGTTTGCACATCAAAGCCTCTGCTCTTTTGGAGAGCTTTCTTTGGATGTATGTGTATTGAGACAGCAGTCGTTTCTTTTACTTCCAACACTGATGAGGACACATACCGTGGGTTTCATTGCGTTGCAAAAGCGGTGTCATCGTTCCTGCACGGTGCAACGGAACTTTGGTCGACCGATCTAAAGCAGGCCTGCATGCGTTTGGTCGACAGGTCTGCCCTCAGCTGCATTCTCAGCAGCCTCCTCCCCCCAAAAAGAATCCAACATAGAACCAACACATTGACTGCCTTGTCCCTGGACGTGTCTCTAAGGAAAAATACACACAATAGACTAGAGATCTCTAGAGGAAGGTGTGGGAAAAGTCAAGACTTCAAGCATATACACTTCCTGCAACTAACACAGAAGTAGAAAACCTCCTGTTTGTAGAGGAAGTCTTCCAAACGGCCATTTTCCACTTCCATATTAGTTCCAGGGAATGCAGCGAGTCTAAAGTCTAAAGGTTTTGACCTCGACTCATTAGCACCCAGCGTCGGTGTTGTTGGCCGCCCCCACCTGGGCCGCAGCAAGGACGCGTCGACTCGTAATGCCAGCAACTCACGACCTGTGCAGTCTTGGAATGCAAAAGCAGTCAACTTGATATATCGCACTAATCACTTGCCACCAACAATCATGCTTTGTGGAGAACTCATGTTGAAACTGAGAACTCGATATGGTCTACTGGACACATGTCCACATTGCCAAGCCATGACATCCACTTCCATCTGACAGGTCTTGCTGGAGAGTATCTTCCCACAGCAGAACATCGACCACCTCCGGACCAACAAAAACATATTCAGTCATCACCGTGCAAGTCCTGCGCATGGGCAAGTCAAGCTGGTCATGGGCATCGCACAAGTATATTATAGATCGACCAGGAGTATACCCTAGAGAAGTCTGCGACTTCTTGCTTGGTTGTTTTCCAGCAAAGAGTCTACGACATCGCAGCACAAGCCTTTCGCACCGGTGGAAGCACCGATGACACCAGCGACAGTTCAGCTGAGATTCGACAGCTGCCACCGTGGACAAACTCTTGGGTGGCAAAAGCCTTGGATGTGAAGTGAAAGGGTGGGAAGCACAATGTGGAAAGCTCCTGCCAGCCACAAACCTTATATGCATATCTATATCTATGTATACATTATACTATACCTATTGCACACAGTAGTCTTGGAAGCTGGACCATCCAATGGGTGTCCAATGGACATCTCCAAGTAGTGTAGGGTACCAGGATCAAGGAGAGAAATCAACCCCCCAAGGAAACCCCCTTGCCCTCGGACTCCTCCTCTCGTTCGCAGCGAACTCGGCATCCGCACTTGGCCTTTTGGTAAATCTCCTTCGGCTTCGACGACTCGCCTCGGCGAACTCAAACCCGACCGATGTCGGCAGCACCGGGTGTGGGTGGGTGATTGATATGGGCACCGGATGGCACTGGGGTGGTTGGTACATGAACGTTTAAGCGAACGACATTTCTAGAGAATCCAGAAGGGTCCAAGAAGCACAACCCACGAAAGTCTAAGAACTGAAAGAATCTCTGCTGAACCATAAGAATCAAATAAAGAATCAACCTTCGCATCAACAGAACATATGCCAGTGCCCTTGGATGGAAGAATGAATACCTAGGATCCGGGAGGGTTCTATCAACCACCCCAAACCGGGTGGTGCTGGTGGAGGCTATTCTCATTTTCAACATGAGCCGGTGGAAACAGAATCTGGACCTTTTGAAATCCAGAGCTGTCGTTGAATTCACGAGTTCTCTTCAGCCAAGGTGTAGCTTCTTCAACCTGCATTTCACGCAAGGAGTCCATTGATCTTACACATCACAAGTTGCTATTGGAGGTCGATGTAATCCACCAAGGTCTGTTGTGAGTCTAATCATGAGAATTGAAGTTGCGCACACCAAACAAACATAACATCCATGAAACATCACACGCCTCCACAGTCCTAAGCCCTTCCAACGCCCTTATAGCTTCGTTGTCCAAGTCCAAGCAGCTGAGCATGAAAGCCATGAACTCCTGTGCGCGCCGTGGCGGCGAGCGCAGGCCACAGAACCATGATGTTCAACAACTATGTCAAGGGGATTCAGGTGGACACCTAAATGAGTTATGTCCTGTTTCACAAACCTTGGGTGATCCTTCAAAAAGGCTTCCCTGCAAGTTGTCCCGTCAACAACTTGCTTCATCAATGGCAGGTCCCGGGTCCCTGTCCTGTGAGTTATACTAAACATAGAGGAGAGAGAACTGGACCGCAAACCAAACAAATTTGCTTGAATTAACACCTGCAAGAGCTGAATCTTAGAAAAACAAAAACATGAAGCAGCCACGCAGTTTAGTATTGACGAGTACGACTCTCTTCTCACCCCAGCCACAAACCTTGGGCTGCACACATTATAAACTTTACCAAATAAACACCGGCTGAGCGGTTCGAGGTGGCCCTCTCGGAGAAGCGCTCCTGTGCCAGACGCTCCTCTTTCATCTTCAGGTGCGTATCCCCCACCTCCTGCAGGTGGGTACCATGATCACGGCAGAAAGCTTTTCTTCACCCTCCCTGAAACAACCATGGGGGTGGACCTTAGTCTGTCCTTAGCCGGCCCAACCTGGTAACAAATCGACTGTTGTCTAACAGGTCCAGGGTCGTGTTGAGGCTAAGAGTACGAGGCTGAGAAAGACAGAACACGACGGAACAGACCAAATCCTCGTGCGACTCACAAGGAATGAGGGTGCATCTTAGGGGTATCTATGGCCAGGGGTCATTCTGAATTCTCCTATTCTTCTATAAGTTGTACCAGAAAGAATTCTGGAGTCCACAGCGGGTCCAGAACTCACAGGGCCTCTGGTCTTGATCACTGGTCTCATCTGAAAAAGCGGACACAAGGTTGCCTTCTCCACTGGTTGGGGGGAAAATTCAGTCACTTTCATAGAATACGGAGGCTTCTTCAAGTGTCGGTTGATCTGGTTCTTCATACAAATCATGGCCAGTTGTTCACTTTCCAAAACCCTTCACAAAGGAGTCCCATACTACCACCCTTGCAACCAGCGGCACAGCTCCGTGGAACAGCTCCCCTCCTCGCCCAGGTCGCGCACTTTGGCCTCTCGCTCGGCCCGGTCGAACCACCTCGGCGCCACTCTGTGAGACCACGCAGCGTTGGCAACACGATGCGGAACATGGTTTTCATCATGATGCGGATGATTTCTGGACAGGGTAAAACCTTTTATTCCATTTAGGATGCTTCTAGAAATGAAACTCTGAAAAGCTTTTGACCACCTGCTCCACCGAGTCTCCAGTAGGTCAACGCCATACGACGCCGCTTCGAAGGCAACACCTGGACAAAATGAGTTTGAAAGAACCAGGATGGGGAGGACACTGTTACTATTATCCCCCGAGGTTCACTACAGGAAACTGACAAAGTCCTACCCAAAAGCATGAAATCATTATATATATATATAGGAATCCCTGTACTGTTGCATACTGTTGTTGGAGGAGGTCCTTATTCGTGAATCCATCATCATAATTCAAAATACCCGGTTACACGGCCAAGAAATAAAGAAAGGGGGCATGAAACCACTGAACCCCCGTTCATTCTCCAAACAAGGCCCGTGCGTCCCCTTCTTCTAAGCAAGTCAAAGCAAACATCTGCCAACATGTCGCTGAAGCAAAACGAAGGCAACATGAAAACCCCTTCCAGCACCACGGATTCCGGGTGTCCATTAATAGCCCCGAAAAGAGGTCATTCGGGGTGTCCATGTCTACCACCCCGACTGGGGGTCCAGGTTCCTCCACGTCTTGACTCTCACCTCATGAGGAAGTTCATTGGCCCAGAAGAGCACCAAGCGCCCAGTCTCCGGCGCCAAATCGATAGCCCCTTCGCCTCAGAGGCGGGGCTTGTGCACGTCGTGTTTTCCTTTGGTGCTTGCGCTTGGCAAAAAAAACTCACTCCCAAGGTCAAGGGGACCACAATGGTAAAACCACTTCGCATTTGGATGATATGAAACAATGTATTTCATAATTAGGCAATATTATCTTTCCTTTCCTGGCTGCATTTACTGACTTGGGACCCAAGTCACGGGGACCCAAGTCAACCTACGTCCCCCCCCCGACAGCTCCCCCCACGTACCCGACCCGACAGCTCTTCGCACGCACAGTGGCCATCCAAGAACATCCGCAAGTGGCCACCGTCGTCCTCGCCCCAGGGCTCTCCATAGTTCAAGTACACCTGGGTGGCATGTGAGCCCGCTGCGGAAGACGCACGCGCGGGCCGCAACCTGGACTTTATTGATGGCTCATGACTCATGTGTAGAAGTGGGATAAGTCCAAATGAAGAAGAGACAAACTCTGAAACAACCAATGCGCCTTGGAAGAAACACTTTACATTACATTGTGCAAGCACTTTAACACAAAAGGTTGTCTACAGGTAGCAATGTCACTGCCCTTTGGCCCCTTGTATTACAATATATAGTGTAGAACACGTTTGCAAAAATTAGCTATCTTAGCTAGAGGACATCCTCGTTTCTTTCTTCGAACCCCCCGACTGACCCCCTGCTAGCATAATCTATATCAGCAGTCAAGAAATACTAAACATCCTGACCAGCACCAAGGAAAGGCGTCCATTGATAGCCTCTTAAAGGTCAAGGGGGTGTCCATCAACCACCCCTTGAGGGTCCAGGGAAAGATCTTTGGAAGTCGCTGTGGTGCCTGCGCACCTGACATTGACGTCCACTTTAGAACGCATGTATCTGAGAAGTCCCCCGAACAAATCCTTCCGTTGGAAGACGGAGGTCCCGTTGAAGTCCAGTGACCAAATTCATAGATATTTATAGATAATATAATATACTCCCCCGCAAACTAACATAGAACCTGAGAATTGACCTGTGGAAGACCATTTTCCTTTACAACCCAGTGGTTTTGGGGTTCCATGTTAATCTGCAGGGGAGTAACTTAATCCTAAGTGGTTGAAACATCTACATGTGCAGGAGTCTGGAGTTTGGAACAACCTCCTGGCTGCAGAGGTTTGTCGAAGATACGACTGGACCCGGCAATGGCACCGAACAGTGTCGAACACATCACCTTCTTGTTCTGGGTATATATGTGGATTATGTAGATCCATCGGGGTCTACAATGCTCCCACGTACTGGAGTTCTGTACCATCCGAGTTCATCCACAGTCACTGCCTTCCAGCGACCGCGGAAGCTTGCGGCCAACCCCCCACCACAGCGACCGCGGTTCCTTCGGTCCGCCAGCGGACGATGGAGGTCAGGACGCGACCGTCACGATTGGGATTGTCCACATGCTTCTGGAAGCGAGCACCATTCTCCTGAGAAGCGGCAAGACGGGTGGAGGTCATCGCTACTAGGATCAAGAAACTACTATATAGTAGAGAAGGGTCGATGATTGGATAAGGAAAATCCTTATACACCCACTTGCAGTCTGTTGATTTGTCAGGGAAACAACTCCTTGTACTGCAATAACTCCTTGCCGTAATCGCATTCAAACCAGATATGGCTGATTTGATCGAATGCATTTTGGTTGAAGTGAAGGCTCCTGAAGTCTCCTAAACCAATGTGTTGAGAACAAATTTGACGAAACATGGCAGTTTGTGTCAAGCCAATCCCAATGCGATGCATGCACACACAGATACACATACACGTCATGAGCCTGATTAGCTGAGTGCTGCAACAATATATATATATACATGTTAAACTGTATATATTTTAGTATATATACGGCCCTTATGATCCTTCTTCGCGGTTCTCTATTCCTTTCCAACACTGCTGGTTGGTCTCACTTGTCTAGCGAACATCCCGGAACAACCGCACACGTGTGCGCCGCCCGATGACGTCGAAGGGCCACCTCCCGATGGTGTGCGATTTCGCCGATGGCACCTTTACATAATTGATACATATAATCCCCGATGCTACAGCATCAATGGGCATGTTACAAACAGATCAATTCTAGATAAAGACCCAGTTTATGTTCACAAGACTAAATGAGTCGATGTAAGATGGAACATTTGATCTTATTGACACACCCAATTTTAATCCATTGTAGATCTCATGAAGCAACAGGGATTGCACATACATATATATATATATAGAGATAGATAGATAGATAGATAGATAGATAGATAGATAGATAGATAGACAGACAGACAGACAGACAGACAGACAGACAGAGAGATAGAGAGAGAGAGAGAGAGAAGCGATCCCTCCAAAGACTCCATATCTTGTGACTGCATGACCGGAGCCCAGAAATCGTCCACATCCGCCCATGATATCGTGACTGCCCAACATCCCAGCACAACATATCGCGACTGACCGAGCGGCATAGATGCTGATCTCAGTGGCACAGCATGTCAATCTCCGTTTCGATGGTCGATCACATGGAATCACATGATTATATATAATGATGGTTAATGAGGCTCTCCAAAACCCTTTTGCTACAACAAAAACTGCGTCCTTTGGATAGTGAGGACTGCTGTCAGAGCTGCACTTGGCACTCTTACCTAGTCTTGTACTGCAGTGGTTCTATAGTGGCTGTGTTGCTGTGCAAAAGTGTCTCTTTACAGGCTCAAAACGGTCGGCTCGAAACAGGATGAGATATGTGCTGAGATCAAAACCAAATACCTTCAACGACTACGTGAGAAGGCCTCGATGTCCTCTTCTTCATGAAGGGAATCCATTCCCTTGCTTCTACTCAATACGCTGCGCATATTGGACCATCATGCTTGGATGATCATCCTGATTGATCCCCAGTTGTTGGTCTCTGTTCAATGGTATTAAATGCCCTCATCAAGCCACGTATACCACTCTTTACCAACCCAGTGAGATGAATTACTACGTAGCTAAGCTTGGATTTGCTTAACGAACCGATAAATTAGTAGAAACACCTTCTCCAGAAGGGGATTCACTCATAGGGGAGAAAACACTCACCCTACGCAACACCAAGTTCTGACTATTTCTGACTCAGTATAGTGGTCCGCAAATAGATAGTGGCACGGTTTCCATCACATTTTTAGTGGGGATCTACTTTTCTATCTATTTGAGGGTCTATATAAAATATGAAAGTGGATGGCCGCCTGAGCCTGAGTCGCCTCACCTGGGCTCCAAAAAAACCTGGATGTGACATCTCCTGAGTCCTTCCACCGAGTCCTACCTCAAGAAGTGGACCAAACAACACACCAGAAAAAAAGAACATAGAGTAAGACAAGCTGGTTTATCACGGTTTATCGTATAGTTCTATGAGTGGATCACTGAGCCAGTTCTTTGGGTGCATTAAAACACATCAAAAAAGGAACACATCATATAAAAAGAAAGCCACACATATCACTTGACTAAGGTTGTTCAGCCGTAGCCAAGTGATATCTTTTAATGTTTCTTGATACGTCGTTCCATCCCTAGTAGTCTAGCATCAGCTAGCACAATCTGACAAATTGGGTGGCCAAATATGCAGTTGGATCCTACCCCATGGTTGACCCAACTATTTAGATCGTCAAGGTGTGTAGGTATACGGAAACCGCAAGGTATACTGGTGCTCCATCATTTCTTTCAACTGGTGGGGGTCCATCTGGGTCTCCATCCATCTCCGTCCTTCCAACTGACTGGTGCTCCATCCTTCCCTCACCCCCTCATCCCCAAAGAACCGCCTAGGCACCATGGCATCCGAGCGCTCGGCAAGGCCCCTGAGACGTCCCACATGCTTGGAGAGGCCCTTGAGGATGAAGTCGTCCTTTTCCCGGTGCGCCAGCAGCTTGTGGTGGTCGGTTGAAGTAGAGTGGATTGAAAGTAGATGGCACAATCCGCAAGGCCGGTGGTTGTGCTTTACTTGGACCCCCTGAAAACAACACCAGCAATAACCTTGAAAGCTCAAGGTGTTTGAAGGGCGCTTTGAGGCGATGGATCAATCAAGAAGCAAATCAAGCAGGAAGACGAGTGGCCTCATGACTTCAACAAGCCGTCCCAGCACATTCAGCCCCACCGACCACTTTCCAACTTAACCGCTTTCGTTTGCCACGCATTCAGCCCCAGAGACACAAGTCTTGAGTCCTGAGGGGTGTTTACGATAGAATTTGGGATGCAAAAGCGCTTGTCCCACTGCACTGTATAGTGAATTAGAATTGGAGCCTTTTCATGAAGATCCCTCAAGACCTTAATGAACAGACTGACTGACCTTCACAATTCTTCACCAACCCAAAAGAAACTCAATGGATTCTGCCAACCAACAGAATACTCCGTAGTTTCACTTTAGTTTCAATGCCAGCAGGGCTTTAAGACAAAACCTACGTCGCGACCGCTGGGCTCCACCGACCGGTCGACGCTGATCTATCTTGCCGCGGCTCCACGCGGTTCATGATCTTCCGGAGCTCCGGAAATCCAGCGGTCGACTTCTCCTCGGGTCCCAAGGCTGACGACGGGACGCTGGTCTCCGGCGGAGAATCCATGGTGGCGATTCCAGTCTCATGTCCAAACAATAAATGGATGGAAGAATTGAACTATATCCCAGACACTCCATGTCTGTCATATACATGGACCCCTCAAACCACCCCAACTGATCTAGTAAATATACCATACATGGAGTGTCTGAGTATTCATTGGGGTGTTTTGTGATCGAAAGAGCAAACTCAGTTCGTTCTTGTTATATGGCCTTAACAGTCGTTCTCGTGACGTCACAACACCCGAACTGAACTGGCAGACCTCCCTCCCCCCTTTTGGAGCCGAGGAGCCATGACCACCTCGGGACGGCAGGGCGCCAAGCCTTCGGCCGGCTGCTGGCCTGAAACGGGTCGGTCCAAACGGGACGGGTGTCTCACCCCCGGTCCGACCTGGTCCGCATCTGGGTAGATGGTTCAACAAGCGGCAAGGTACCATGGTTATGAACATGGTCTTTCTGCATCTTGAGAAACTCATATTTCAAAATATAGATGCATAGCTGCTAGTTCTATTCTAAATTTTGAGGGGTCGCCCCATCGGTGGGGCGAATCAAAGAATGAGATCCATAAGTACTAAGCAAACTTATGAATTCGCCACCTGTGAGCGATAGAGAGCCATCACGGAGAATCCCTAAGATCCCAAAGGTTGACCAATTGCTCCCACCATTCAGGGTCTGGGAGGCATTTCCAATTCATGTTGATGGCCCTGTAGCTTCAAAGACGGAGTCGGCTTCGTGAGGCTGAATGAAGTGGTAGAATTTTGCCCCACCTATCTGGGTGAGTAGCTCTACGGGAAAAAAACCTCCTAGGTCAAATCGACTACGCCGGTGGAGCATCGACCCATCTGCGTTCGACCTGCAGAGTCCCAAAGCATCTCGCGCGCAGGCGTGCGATGCTCACCACAAACCTCAGGTGCTCGAACCAGCGAACGAACGTGCCATGCGAACGTGCCCAGTACCAGCTGCCAATATGTGGAGTCTATCCCAGGTTTCAGGTTTCAGTGGATGATGGTTCAGTTGCAGGCCGACATCTCTAAAATCGTGATGTTCTGGTTTACCGACTGTATACAGGTATGAATGAACATATCCAAGCCATATGGATTAATGTATGATCATGCAGATCGACTGATTAAACAACAAATTATCATATGATTAATAACTCCCCATGCTCTCCCCATTTAGATTGAACAACTTTTTCAGGTCTGGGGATGGGTCGTTCAGAAATGTCCACCGAGCAGTCCACCATGGGCCGCGAGTTCGACCGACACCAGGTAGGTCAGGTAGGTCAACTGGTCGGCCGATCTCCGTGTGTGCCATGACCCACAGCCATATGGATAGTGTGGACTCTCGATTGATGACTATATTCATACCTCCCATTTGGATTGAAACACCTCTTCACGCCCGCGGAGTTGAAACACAATTATAAGAGCCACATTCTGATGGCTCTTATGGACCGCCTCATGGTTCCAAGAAAGCAGCACAATTGCAACGTTGGATGTACACATTGCAACCATCCTCCCAGGGTCAGTGGGTTTCCGAAACATGCTCCGCGATGGTCCATGTGGGATCGTCCTCAGATTCGACCCCCGAGGAAAGAGGCTCCAAACATGCTGCGTACCCAGTTGGGGTGATTCGGGGGGTCAATGACGGTCAATGTATATATTCCATACATGGACCATGGAGTGTCTGGCTTTTGTTGCTGCAGCATGTTCCATATGTCTCCCATGTTTGTTTTCTCTCTCTCTCTCTCTGTCTCTGTCCCCTTGGTGGCTCCAACTGGGAACTCTACAAATCACGAGGGCCCAGGCCGGTCTGTCGATCCACACCAAAGCGGATGTCGCACCCGACTCCGTGAAAGCATCTGTTGGCGACCGTGAAAACCGTCGTTAGAACGGTGATTGGAAAGGAACGCCGGTAGAACACCCATCAACGATCTGACGGTGAAAGACGATACCTGGGTAAATTAACATAGGCCGGAAGCAATTTGAGCTCTGACAACGAGTAGAGTACGATTCACAACATTGGCCGGAATCTTCTTATCTCCTGATCTCTGTTCTTGGCTTGATTCGCACTCATTGATAAGCTCACCACTAAATGCATTAAAAACGCTACTCATCCCTTGGACCAACCCCAAGCGTCTCACCATCTCTCCCTCGGCCTCCCCGCCCACATGATTCGATCCGATCGCACCTCGGCCGCGGCCCGCGCGCGCCCGGCGGCTCCGCCCGAGCGGGCTCAGGGCCGGGGTCGTTCGGTGCATGTATTTATTTGTGGAAAGTCCTGGGGAGCCAGGGTTTTGGAAGATGCACGGGCGGGCTTGCCAATCCAGGGTTTTGTTTGTTTTGGAATCCGGGTTGTTTGGCGTTTTGGAAGATGTAGGCATCGGCTTTTGGTCCGGATTCCTGCCCGGGCCCCCCCGGAAGACCCGCTGGAGAAAACACAAGAACCGAACCGGTCGTCTGGTCTTGTTGCGGAACTTGAGGCAATCTTTTTTTTTTGATGCAAGAGCGACGCATGCATGCAAACACCTATTGCAATCTGTACAAAGTCCTGGGACTTTGGGGGGAAAGTCCAACCGCCTTCGTAGATAGCTCGGCGCGACATGGTGTCCAACATGTTTTCCTGAAGAATCCACATGCTTGACCCTTACCCTCTCTCCAACAAAAAAATGGTTTGGTGAAAAGCGGCGCCTGGCGCCTGGCCGGAAAACTTCATACTTTACAAGCAAGCAGCTGTCCACTTCCATGCTTTACTCAAATGGGTTGTATATACAATCTACAGATTATATCAGATTGCAGTTGGACCATATGTTGCACCCACCCCAGTTTATCGTTTCGAGTTTGTTTACCCTCCGTCCAACAAACATGCAAGTGGAATACGGCCTCTTGGAATACGGTTTTCCTCTACAAACCGGTGGTTTTCCACTTCCATGATGGTTTCAGGGAGGGCAGATGATAGTTGCACCATGTTGTACCCATCACGTGGCACGTAATTCAGCCGGTCCATGTGGTCCTTCCGGGCCGGTTTCGCACCCAGGAGCCGTGGGAACCGAGAGCTGGGCGCCGGAGGCCTCGAGCTGGGCGGAGGGTGGAGGAGTCAGAAGGAGTCGATGGAGTCATGAATTAATTGTAGACCCCATAACTCCCAGTGAAAATGACAGACTGTAGAGTTCTTATGGAGAATATGCCACTTATAAAGTGTAAAACACACTGTAGAGTTCTTGTAGAGAATGCAGAATGACAGACTGTGGAGTTCTGGAAAGAGAAGAACTGCAACTTATTCAGTGTAAAACACAATTTTTTGGAAGTTCTTCTGTGTTCTGCAACGAAGCTCTACACGTCTTGCAGTACTCTCCAGTTCCGGGGAACCACTGCCAGGAAACACGCGGAATGAAAGGGTGATACCAGGTCAAGGACGTCTTAGAGGAGCTCCACCACCAATCGCCCATGCAAAGCATCCACCACTCGATTCAACACAAGGAGCCAACAATCTCATCTAAGGATCCCACTTGACCAACCCACCAATCAATCTGACAAACAAATCGCACAATCACTTGACTTATTATATGTATAAGCATATACTACAGTAATTGCTACATTTTACCAGCCAGCAATCAAGCAATTAATAGACAAACAGGCGCTTTTCATGTCGCACAACCACTCTATTCTTATCCCATCTTTGCACACGGAACATCACCGAACCCAGTGACCATCCAACCGACACGTTGCGATGCAAAAAACTCCTCTTCCTCCCGGAACCAAACACACCCACGGATGTCCACCCACACCTGCTTGCCGACCCAAATCTTTGCTGTCTCGAACTCCCGGTCGTAGGCCGCCAGCTCTTGGGCCAGGAGCTGAACCTCGGGGCAGGGCCAGGTGACCCGTTTGGCCAGGAACAAACGGGCAATGGGTCTCTTATCAAGATGGTTTGGACCAAGGGGCTGTGAAACGGATGGGGTCTGATGAACTGAACTGAGAGGCTTTGAGGGACTCAGGGGAAACTGAAGGGAGCGGCGTGGGGCTGGTCTTTTTTTATTCTTAGACATACTAAGACCATGAAACCGAGTGTCGGCGATATGTTCTGTGGGTGTGACCTGATTGTATCCTTCCATGGTGAACGCTGGAGAGACGAGGAAAAGGGGAACATGAAGAAATATTATGCCGGCTGTTTTCACATCAAAGGAGGGTTGGTGCTGTTGGTACTGGTGACGGTGATGTGTGATTTGATTTGTACATTGATGTGCTATCACGTGCTATCAACATCTAATCAATTAGAGGACTCTTCAAACAACCATCTCGGCGACAAGTTGATTGCAAGCCTCTGAACTCTTGCCCAAGGGGGCAAAGCGGGCACGTGCTTATGACTTATATTATAAACTGTATTATATTTATAGTAATAATCTATATGTCTTCAATAATACATATTGCATATGTCAACAACTTGATATAGCTTATACATGCTTATACAATCTTATACATATCTCACCTAGACATACCTAAACCGTCCGACAGCTCGTCCCTTCGTACACGTGAGATTACGTAGGGATCCGACGCACGACAAGAGGAGTCCAGCAACATGGCAATGACAAACACCAGTGGAGAATCAACACGAAGACGATGTTGCGGGGAGTTTCATTGAGATGGGCTGGATGATGAAGAATCATTGAAGAATCACGGGGTAAGTTGCACTTGTCTGCTTTCGGTGGGGCGAGTCGGTGGAACCAGTGAGTGAGAGTGATAGCGAGTCGTTCAACACAACAAGCAAGTATTTCCGAAAACTCACATGGACCCCTGACGTTCTGGCCCCCCTGGAGGATTCTTTTCCTCTACCAACCAGTGGTTTTCAGGGTCCACGTGGGCAACTCCAGGTGCCTCGTCTTTCCACCGAGGCACGTCCTGGTCAGAGACGAAGTGATCGCAGATCGCGTAGCCTCCAGGGAGCGCGATCGCGCTTGCGCGTGGTTTCAGGGCATCTCAAATGCATGGAAACAGTGGCACATTTGGACCTAAGACACCTATAGAACTCAAAAAAGATCCTTGGGCCTTCTAAAGGCCTGAAGGCCAAGTGTGTTGTATCAAAACTAAATCTAATCTTTTATATACCTGATGCTTTTATCATGCTTTTGCTGAACATGTTATAACTATAACATATGATCACTCTAGTTGCAATCTTCACACCATTCTTGGTCTCCCTCTGAACTGCCGAACGGTTCAACCGCCGCTTCTTCCGGCGCCTTGCGCCTCCAGCAGGGCGGAGACCGCCGCGAGCACACGCTGGGACTCCTCGGGCGTTCCCTTCCAGGAGGCCGTCCTTGGCGACGAGGACGGTCGAGACGGTCGCGACGTGAGAAACCGCGGTTTCTTGAGAGAGCAGAATGTGTCGCAGGAGTTGGTTATGTTATGGTATGGTGCTTTGGTGCTTGCTTTCACAGTTTGATCTTCTTCTTCTTCTTCTGCTTCTTCTTCTTCTTCTTCTGAGTCTTCTGAGTCTTCTTGTCCGTTTATGGATGCTTTCCTCTTGCTCTGCTCTGATCTTTTCATGTCCTTCTCTCTTTATATTTCTTTCTTTCTGCCCTTGTTCTTATTCCCTGTCTGCTTTTTCTCTGACCCTCCTGCTCATCCGAGCGGCGCATCCAGGGAGGGCGGTGGAAGCAGCACCGTTCGCACCCTCGGCTCCTGGTGACTTAGGACCTGCACAGTGGAGGGGAGCAGGGGGGGTGGCCAGCTGATGAAATCTTCCCCGTTTAATCTTCTTTTAAGTCTCCCCCAGGCTTGCGAGCTCTTAAGTTGCTTAGTCTTCTTTAGTCTTTTGTTCATGGATCTTCATTGATCTTCCTTGCTTTTCTTCATGTTGGTCCGTTATTTGGCAACAAAGAGATACCGAGGGATCGCTGACCTGCAGTCTGCGAAAGAAGCCACAATCAAATCAAACAACCCCAAAATGCCAAAATGGCGCACAAAAATGCAAAAACTGGTAATTCCATGTGTCTAATGCAATGGTCAGTGGGCAAACCCCTGACACGGCACAGTCTGCACAAGAAACAATTGTTTTTATTCATGGATGTTCAAGTGAGTTAAATACAATGTGTTGTTTCTGTCTTGTGTTTGTTGGATTTGGAGCCACCCGGCCACGGCCCCTGGGGGGAACGATGTGCATGATTGTGCATGTATACCTCACCACGGATGACCTATGGTGAACTCCCCTAAAACCATCTGATGTGCTCCTCAGACTGAACACAGACTTCTTCTGACTGGTGCGACTCGTAAGGAATGATGGTGGCTGGATCCTAAGGTATATCGGTATATCTTGTATCCATAGTAAGGGGGGTCATTTCCTCATTACTAAGCACCAGTCAGTCTTGGGTCCAATCCAATCCGATTCGCAACATTTGCAACTTTCCGTGGAGAAGACTTGCTTGGAGAACTGGAGGGTCCACTTCTGCGCGTGCTTCAAAGGATGTCATTGGACGGTTTTTTTTCGTTCTTCTGCAAATGCCCCCGGCCGGGCGCTAGGCGATCGACGTTCTCCTACACCCATTTTTTGACGGTGAAATGGGCATCTTCAACCATGATAAGCCACGACCCCCACTGTTCATGTTCATTAACCTGGGAGTGATCACAACAAGTCCAATATATTAAAGAGACTCTTGATTCATACCCCGCCATTTAGGGCTGAACAAGCTCTTGATGCGGTGGGAGCTTTCTGAATTGAGAGTCTACTTTACCAGCACTGGGACCATCTTGGTTGGTTCGACACTGCTCGCTTGATGACCAAGATGGTCCCAGACAAGGCCAACCTCTTTGTGGAGAACACCAACCAGCTTGATATTTTGTGGAGAACAAACAACACCAAGCCGCTCTTTCCACCGACCGATCGTACAATATATATATATATCTCCATCGATCGATAGCGACGAGCGGCGAAACCCTCCGCCTGCTTCACTTCGCCCAGCAAGCGCGTCAGGACTTGCTGCTTCCTCAAGGACGCTTTCTTCCCAGCAGCGGCGTCGTTTGGACACGGTTGGTTTGTGAAATGGTCCGAAAGAGAGGGGAAAGCATACCCCAAACCGCCGGACAAAGCAGCCCCACTGGACTCAGTGTGGACTCAGTGGAACATCATCGTGACAATTGAGTGGCTAGGAGTCCGCAAGGACATTGGTTGAAAGAGAAGCCAGGAACATGACCGTCCTAGACTCCCTGCTGCTGACACAACTTGCTGTTGTTGGGAAGGCCACAGCCCCCACATCTTGAATCATAGATAGCTTGTCAACCTGCTGTATCAAGTTAAATATGTAACCCTAGGTGATCTCCAAGAGAAAAAATGGTCTATCACAGTCACAGCACTACTTTGGCTCCAAGTAGAACTGATGGTAGCCTAAATGGAGCGACAGTCCCAATATGGCTCTGCTCAAACATGTCGAACAAAAGAAACCTTGGACATGCAACATAAAAGGTGTCTTGAAGGGATTTACTGTTTTGCTTCTACTGAAGGAACAGTCTATCCTGAACATTCCAGCACGTCCATTTGACAGGTTCCCCAGCACGGTTTCCGGACGTACGTGCACCACAGTCTCCGGCGTGCGCGGACCTTCCCTGCCGAGCAGCACAGCATAACCTTTCGACTCGGCAAAGGACAGGTTCGCGGACCTCGGGTCCATCTGAGAGGATCAACATAGGGACTTCCCAGCTGAGCTGAGCAAAAGGGGCCAGATCGCACGTGGGCACAAACGGTTGCGGCCTGATCTTCCCCGAAACGTATGAAAAACTTTGATTTGAGGTCAGTTTAAATTTCCATCAGAGTGGGCAAAGACGGATGTGTTCGGGATTCCGGATTGAGGGTGTCACCTGCCTTCTCGGCAGCCAAACCCAGCTGTGTTTTGGCATGCTACTGCATTTTTTGATCATTGTTTGCATTGTCTGCATGTAGCTGCCTTTTGGGATCAGGACGTGAAAGCTGGCTTCATGTCAAGGAACACAAAAACACACTCGGGCTGTTTGGCAAACATCTTGGAAAACACCGCGAGCAAAATATCGCGAACCAGCTGTGGCTGTGGTTGATTTCGCCACGGGCTGTTTCTCTTGTATGCGTGATTGCGTGATGTATATTTCTACAATGCATAGTTTGCAAGCGTCTCTCAAATAAAGGTCTCAAAGCTCATCGCTGAAAGGACACTAGGGCGTCAGTACTTATGAGTTTTCTCAAGTATGTAACTAATTAAGTAACCTGCAAGGATGATATGATGTTGATAAATTGCACTAAAACAGCCTGCGGGTCCGGCTATTTTTTTGCGGGCAGAGGTATTCTGAACCGGTGGAATTTCAGGAAGAATGCTATAGTCTTCATGAGGTATACCACCAATCCATGCAAATTAACCACAGTGAAAAGTATCCAGCTGAGTTTAGTAGATTCATCCATGTACCGTCATACACCTGGCAAGCAAACACTGCAGGGTTAGAGAATCAGGAAGGGGATGCTCTACTCTAAAGTCCGATGAATTGTCTGAGGCCGCAGCTAGTGGATGCTACACACTGAGAAAGCACTGTATCTAGACTCTAATCCCCATCCAGCTTTGAAACCTGCAGGTTATCAACGTGTAGACCTGTTGGGGGGGTATCTGGTATGTTCATGACCTTCTACATAGTTTATCCATCAGGAAGAAAGCAGTCTTCCTTTTGAACCGAAACAAACCACCAGGCCCAGGCGTCAACCAGCTTCGCTTCCTGGCGCGGTGTCCAAACGAATCGTCTTGCCGGGCCACACCGTCTCCAGCAAGGCCCAATCCACCTCGTTATTCCGCTGCCGCAGCACAGCCAGCATGGCCTCAAGCGACGGGCAAAGAGAGAGAGAGAGAGAGCGAGGGAGGGAGGGGAGGGAACGGAGGGAGAGGACTGAAGAAGAGCTAGTGATTAATATTGGTCAAACAGCAGCACCACTAAGGTCAAGGGTGTCCCTTAATAGCCCCGAAAAGAGGTGATTCGGGGTGTCCATCAACCACTTCTTGATTTGCTGTATAGAAGGATCATGAGCTCACACTGCCATCTTCCCTGGAACGTGTCGAACAAGTCTTTCGGTCCAAAGAACGAGCTGCCAATACACTCAAACAAAGGTGACCATTTACCACCCCCAATTGATCCCTTTCTCTCTTTCTCCCCACCAAAAGCCTCAATCTCAACACATCCTGAAGTTCTCTGGTTCTTGGGTGTGAGGTGTCAGATCCAAATGAGAAGCCTCACGACACCCTGGTGTCTACCGCTAAGTAGAGTTACTAGAGACGATGGAAGGCACGAAGCAGCAACAGAAACCGTGTCGACGCGAAGAAAGGCGTCATGCCGAGCATCGTCCGCGCTTCCCGTGCTCAAGAGCTCCTCCGGAGCAGTGGGTCTGACTGCCTAGCTCATTCTGGAAATGTCGGGTTCTTAAGGATCCCTGATTGAAGTTAATCCCAACAAAAATCCCAAAAGAGATGGAACATGATGGAACTGTGATTCCCCTTTGTAAACATGTCGTATACAGTGTGACCTTCAATTTACAGCCTAGTGGATCAATTTGGGGACCTTATGGGACCTTTTTGGCTGCCCAGCTCCCAAATCGCTTCTTGTCCAGAGCAAGCCCAACTTGGCCCAACTGCCAAATGCGCCAGGTCTATGAAACCACGTGTGAAGACCCCCACTGCTCCTGAAGGAACACCCCTGCTGCTGCGGCACGCTCGTCCGCCGTGTCGGTCGGAGTGTCCGCCGTCACCATGGCCAAGTTCTCGGGTCCTGGGATGGATTTCTCAACTCCTGGGATGGATTGAGAGGAGATGGCACAAACTCACCGGTACCCCCATTTTAAGGTGGTTGATCAAAGGGAGCCGCATCTAAGTCACCGATCGCCGTGGCAAAGCCGCACTGTCAACGGGATCGGCAGTGGGTTTCCAGGATCCATCATGATCCCAGTTTCAGAGTGGCATACAGTGGATGAGGGTCAAGAGGACCTCAGCCAAATCAAACATAGTGATCAATTGAGACTCTTATTTTTACTGTCATGTTGCAGCGAGTGGGAAGCTGCAAACTGTAGCCATGAAGAAAATTCCAGCAATCGCCATGTGGCCCTTTGGTTTCAACACCTGTCCTCAATACCAGCAGCAAACTCTTGCTTGGACCTGCAATGATTTTTCTGGAGAAACCAATCCTGTGCGGGTGATTTGCATGAACATCTAATTAACAGTCATTCCACCAGGTGAATGTCAGTGTAACTGGCCCAAAAGTGTCTATCGAAAGTGTAGCATTGGTTCCTCCACTTGGATGAGTGTTCTGTTCCAACCCAAACACCCATATGGCTGCAGGTAAAAACCTCACCCTATACAAAACCGCGAAAGCAGCTTGACCTCCCTTCTACAGGAAGCATCTCAACTGACCCCCAGCCGAGACTTGTGCGCTTCCGGAATATACGACTCCTGAGGGATACGACTCCTGCGCTTCCAAGAGAGGTTGAGAGACATGCAGCTGGGACCCTGTAGGGCTGTACATCTATGGGATAGGCTATAGGGCTATGAAAAACCTCTCTAGCTTCCTCTGAGACCCATTTTCCGACTCCGCCCATCCCGGCGGGTGACGCATCTTCCGACTCCGTCCATCGCTGGTGGTGAGCTGCCAACGCCCGGACTCCTGCAGAAGCAGCGGAGCGGTGGAAAGCTAACCGCCATTGACAGCAAAGGACAGGTTTTGGACTACAAGTGAAGCCCAGCACCTGTGATTTCAATCCTCTCAATATCAGTTTGAGGAGGAAAAGAAAATAATGAAGTTTGGCCACCAGAATATTGGTGGACCCACAGCTCTGATACCTCTGATACCAAACACACGAATGTGTGAAAGTGAAATCACACGTGTCATCATGTCATGTGTCAAACAAACTTGGAAACATTTGGCAAATTGACCTATAGAGATGATTTTCACAGCCCTATAGCCTATCGCATATGTACAGCCAGCCCTACAGGGTCCCAGCTGTATGTCTCTCGACCTCTCTTAGTGATTGGATGTCCTCAGATGTCAACATGGTCCAACATGGCCAACGTCTTGGAAGTCTGTAGAGCTGATCAGCCAATGGTCTTGTAGTTCAGGCCATGCGGGACGGAGGTGTTTCTCCTTGTGATCCACAGACCTTCTGACACAGCTGTGGGACAGCTCACGTAGTGCTTCACTTACCCAGACACTCCATGTATGCCATATATATATCATATATTCCTACATTGACCCCTCAAACCACCCCTGGCCTGATGGGCCCATGGGTCGTGTCTGGGTAAGTGAAGGTCTTCGTGGCCACGAGCTTCAAGCTCAGCTTTCTCCACCCATCTGAGGTCTTCGCGTAAAGGTCGACTGCTCCACACCAGATCGACCTTTTTCTCCCACCGTTTCACCCGAAACGGTCCTCGGTAGCTCGCGCCGAAACGTTCGACCGACGTCGACGACGTCCGGCCACCTCGTCGAAGTCCACCAGGACGCCGAGCATGCCGTTCAGCTGTTGCCTCGGCGCTGGGAGCTCGGTGTCCGCCCCCGGTCGGTCCCGGGCCGCGGGGTCGGGGGCGGTGTCTTCGAGCGAGAGAAGAGCGAGAGCGAGGGGGGGGTTGAGAGATTCAATGGAGATTCAAGTCATGGCCAGAAGAATCAAACATAGGTCACATAGGTCAATGGAGATTCAAGTCATGGCCCATGGCCAGAAGAATCAAACATCCTGGATCTTCAAACGACCAAAAATTTCTGGTAGTTTTGGTTATTAACCCGGTTTTCTGCGCAAATGACCGCAAATCAGCGCACACGTCAAAACGACCGCAAATTAGCGCAAAACGTAAGCAAAAAGCCAGCAAACGACCACACAATTCTGCAAAATAACGCAAAACATCGCAAAACGTCCAAAACAACCATAAAACAAAAACGACCAGAGTTGTTTGGTAGTTGGAAGGTCCAGGATATAGGCTTTCTTCGCCCACGTGATGCTGCTGCTCTGCACCGCAGAGGACAGCAGTTTCACAAGTGAGAAAAATGTTCCCACTTGATGTCGGTCGTGAATGACACAAACAAATCACAAGTTCCATAGGATCCTCCCTCCAACAGCCACATGCTTTGCACCCTACGGTCTGGAGTATTAAAAGCAAGCACCGTATGGATGTAGTAGCTCGGACGACGTCCATATTTGTTGGTCAAAGGGTATACTATGTATATACACTCCCTGAAATAATCATGAAGTGGAAACCCACCTGTTTGGTATTTTCGGACAATTGTTGGCCTTATTTCAGGGAGTGTAGCATTTTCATTCACATTACGTCAATTGAGCACGTTCGCAGCACCCACAAGTATGAGCAACATCTACGTTGTTGCTTCAAGTGTATGTCCAGGAATTCCATGAATGCATGACTAGGTTTACGGTAAGATTGCCTGGAAACAAATCTTTCATACTGCTCGTTTTTTTCACATGGACATTCATACCTGCTTCGGGCCCGTTCCATATCAGCCCGGCTTGTCCATCAGCCAGAATCTGTAATTGTTTGCATCCTTTCTCCAAGCTTCTCCACCAGCAAGCTGGGAGAATCCATAGCAAGCTGGGAGAATCCTTTTGCCCAAAACACACGTTTTTGCACGACGCAGAAAAAAACGACGTAGCACGACGTAGCTCGTCCAGCTGCCATTGAATTGGTTCTTTCCACTGAAATGGCACATCCATCAGCTTATATAAACACACACGTCCATTTCAGCCCAGCAGCCCCTTGACAGACTTCAAGCTGTGTACCTCTCACCCGAGTTCCATCGGGGCCAAGGGAGTGGGCGTGCCATGCTTCTTGAAACGAGGGGACACACACACAAATCTGGCTAGTTTGCAAGTGAAACTGTCTGCGGTTTCACATGATCTTTTGCGTCACCAGCATGTATATCAATCAGGTATGGCTGCCAAGACAAAGAAGCAGTGGGAGTTGGAGGATGCTTTTGCATACCAGCCAGCATCAATTCAACACAAGAGCCATGAAATAGTTTGGTCTCATGTGATGTTCATCCCCCCATCCCCATCGCCGTTCGTGTGCGTTTTTCACCCTAGGCTTTCTGCGGCGAAAACAACCAACGGCGCCTGCACCGAGCATCCGGCCAAGTGGTCGCCCCGGCTGATGCTCCTCCGACTTTGCATCTTGCGCAGGCCCAGCATCTCGCGCATGGAGGGGCAAAAGGACCTGAAAGGGACGAGAGGTGCGAACGTACAGGGAGCAACTTAACTTGCTGGATAGCAAGGTGGCGAGGATTTATGTAGCAGGAAACCTGCAATTACCGTTGACCTGCAGTTCTTTTGATGTTGCTCATGGACAAATAACTCCTGCACCACTCGAGTTTGGTGTCCTGTCGCGTCGCTTGGAGTTTGGCCGCCAGGAACTCTGCCTGCTTTCCTGCAGTTCCTGATAGTACCTGGTTACCTGGACTTCAAGTCGTCCCCTTCCCCGAAATGGGGAATTCCATTGATAGCCTCTTAGAGCTCATATATGGGCTGAAAACAGAAGAACCACCCCGATCGTGGGTCCTGGTAGCTTGATGGATGGAGGTCAGGCATACCCATTCTCCGAGGTGCTTGGAGACTCGTGGAGTCTTTGGGAAGTGATTTCTAGCCATTTGACACATCTCTAGAGTCACCTGTGGGGCCCATCGGACCAGAGACTCGTCTCAGCTCTGAAAAGGGTATCGTCTCAGTGAGGTGCACAGACTCAGGGATTCTGTGGATTCTGTGTGCGAGGCTTTCAAGGGCAGGCACATGTCAAGTTCAGAGCGATCAGCTCGGACTCTTGAGTTTCATACAGCTCCACCTCGTGCGGCCACCGACCACCTCAGAGTCCGCCTGAATGTCTTCCAAAACAGCTTCACCATACTCCACCCGTCCTCCATAGAAGGGCCAGTTTCACACTCCCAGAGCTCAGCAGCTTCCTCCCCGGCTCAACGTCTCACCATCTCAGACCGGTAACGTCTCGGTCAGGTTGGAGAGGCTGGTCAGGGCGGCGACCTGGTCAGGTCGGCGACGTCTGTGCAGCACGGTTTCCACGTCGGCAAAAACGACGGGGTGAACGGAATAAGATCGTCGCTCGCCAAGTGGGGAACGCGCAGCTTCTTTTGGAGCAAACATAAACACATATTCTGCAAACACCCCGTTGGAACTCCTGGATGATAAAACAACTCTGATACTATACAACTCTGCAAAGCACTGGAATAAATTCAAGTGACCACTTTTGTCAGTGGGCACTCAGGTGCAGCACTTCGCTTCTCTTTTGTGTGATGTGCAGCCCTTCCAAAATTGCCCATCTGTGAACCACCAAGGAATTTTAGTATGTGGAAGACGGACATATATATATATATATATATGCTTATGGGATCTTATGGGAACGTTGTTATTGGGGATGGTCCAATTCGGCAAGGGGGGCCATAGATTTGGTCCAATCCCCATGCAATTATGATTTTGTAATTATGATAGCTTGCCCACCAGCACCACCGTGTCATTCCGAGCACCCGCCCGGGTTCCAGGCTCTAGAACCCCGCTGTTCTCCGAGCGGCCAAGCAGGATGGGATCTGCAACGAGGTGCTGAAGACGACGGCGTGGTGAGGAGAACAGCGCAGCAGCGGACAAACGCCCATTGCCACCGTCCAGTGGGACAAACTGAGGGGAGGTCGAAGGCGACGATTGCAAGTGGCACTTCACATGAACAAAAGAAGTGGCCTCGTAGGCATCCAAGATTGCCATCCAAGGTTGGGGTGAAAACCAAAGCAATTTCAATCAAGCTGTCTGAATATCTCAGCATACTGTATACTATCGTTCTGAAGTTCTGACTCAGAAACAAAGTCCTCTGTTGGAGGATCATTAACCCTCCAAACAATTACAGAAAAATATCAGTCACATACAGTCTGGAAGATTATGGAAGATTCAAGTAGAACCTCAAAACAACTGATTTCTCCCGTGTGACTGTGGCATGCTTCAGTGATCTTCAGTCGCTCTAGCTGCTCTAAGCTTCTTAGTGTGAGTATTTGATATCAAACCGATCATCTGTGAGACTGAACCCATCAAGAATGCCTACTTCGACGGACGAGCTACAGAACACCTCAAACATCTAGAAACTCTCCATGTGTGTGTGTCCATGGGAAAGAAATGAGAAGAACCCCTCGCAAACTGGGCCAGAATTCTTTACACTCTGACTCACTAACATGGAAGTGGAAGACAGTTTGCTGGAAGACTACTTTCCTTTACCAACAGGAGGTGACCTCCACTTCCATGTGATGTATTCGGAGGGTAGAGAAATCAATCCAAACAGGCTTCTTCAGCCCAGGCCAGCAATGAAAGTGTCTCCTCCGTTTCGCTGCCCTCCGCGCCGAGAGGCAGCTGGGCGGGACTGGAGCTCAGCTGCTTGGCCCAGTGGCGACACAAGGGCTCCTCAAGCCTCGCGAACCCGACGCATATGTATCTACATTCGGGATCATTCGGGCGGTTGAACGGTGTCCATGTAGCATGCACATAGAGTGTCTGCATTGGGATGTGTGTATATTGGAACTTCACAAAAACTCATAAACGGTGAGGAGTTGTATGGAATGTTTGTTGAATTCCCTACCTCAGCCTCACCATCATGCAGCTCAAGGAAGCCTGGGTGATCCCATATATGTGCCGCGGTGTCTTGTTTTGCCACTCACACACAGGCACAATTCCTGGGGTGAGGTTGAGTGTCCGAGTTCGTCCTGTCCGAGATTCCCGTCATATTCTTTGGAGGCTTTCTTGGCCTCAAAACATCCTCTCCGAAGCCAAACCCGGGGAGTTTACTATATAACAACGACGACGACAACGACAACGACCATGTGCTGTAAAACGAGCCAGCTGTTCGTGTGGTGTCTGTTTCTGATGCCCAGCCACGGACTGATGCAGGAGTGCAACGGATTGAACAACGAGATGCCCACGGGAATGATCCCTGAGCTCGGGCGCCGCGATCCAAACACCAAAGCCGGTGAGGTCGAACCGTGGGACGCCCCATGAGGCCATGAGATGAACACCGAACTGGCAGCTGCCGGATTTGAGTGAGGGGTCCACGAGAAAGGTTACCGTTGAACTACCAACTGGGCAGGTAGTAGATGTAAAAAGCAAAGCACCAAGCTCGGGCATGTATGCAAGTACATACTGGCAAGCCCAGCTTCCCAGCAAGCCATGCATGGTCGACCTTTTTGTATTAAAGTTCAAAGGAACTGCAAGTGTTTTTTTCTTTCTGGGGAAACCACACAATGTTGGGGCATGATCAGGTCCCTGTAAAAAAGACGGATCTCAGTTAAACAGATTTTCATCTGGGAACCCTGGTGATCAGCTATCTTGCTATGGGAACCACAGAACCACATGTGCAACAAACAAACCACCGTCGACGCGTCACATCCACAACTTATCAACCAGCACTGCGATGCTTTTCACGTAGCCACGGTTAAGGGCACACATGGACACACGTAGCCCACTATACCTCCTCTCAGACAGGTGATCCACTTTCTGATTGTTGGATAAAGGGTAGTCTGATGTCATATGGCTGTAGGTCAAGAATGGTCAAGACCCGGAACCCCTGTGCACCCTGGTAGGTAGACCTCCAGCCTGGTAGGTGATTCTGCTTCTGATTCAATCGATCGGTGGTCCACCAGGGTGACCCGGTGCCACGTCTGGCTGCATTGCGCACCCTTTTGCTGTAGCCCCGTTGAAGCCTGCGCGGCGTCAACGTCTGAGCACCAGATGAAACTGTCAACTCCGAGCTGCAATTCCGGAAGGCTCCAGGGCCAATCTGTAAGATCGACTTGGAAAGGATCACACTTGCCAAAGAGCTGCAGTTGGCAAAGGCACATGCACCAATCTCCGTCACGGAGTCGGGGATGGTCACACTGGTCAAAGAACTGCAGCCATCGAAGGCATTCTCCCAAATGCGCGTCACGGAATCAGGGATAGTCACGGTAGTCAAAGAACCGCAATGTTTGAAGGTACTACCCCAAATGTTGACGACTGAGTTGGGTATGGTCACACCTGTCAAAGATTTGCACCCTTCGAAGGCAGAAGGCCCAATGTGAATCACTGAGTTGGGGATGTCAACACTAGCCAAAGACACACAATCAAAGAAGGCACCATTTCCAATGTGGGACACTGACTGGGGGATGATCACACTTGCCAAAGAGCTGCAGCCCCAGAAGGCAACGTTTGGAATGTGGGTCAACGACTCGGGGATGGTCACACTTGCCAAAGAGGAACAGCAACTAAAGGCACCGGCCTCAATCACTGTCACTGAGTCGGGTATGGTCACATGTGCTAAATGTTTGCAATTTGCAACGGCTTCTTCTCCAATCTTTGTCACTGAGTCAGGGATGATGAGTTTAGCCACACTGCTGCAGCTTCGGAAGGCTCCTGAATCAATCTGAGACACATCGTTCGGGACTTCGACCACCATCAAAGACTCCACATCAAACTCACGAACACATCCGACCAGCTGATAATGATGAGAACATCTGGCGATGTTTTCTTTCAGGATTATGGTCATCTGCGACTCTGCAGAGACACCCACATCTGCAAGTTTATCATCGTCCAGCAACTTGCAATCCCCAAAAACCACCTCGATGCTTGTTGCCATGAGCTGGTCTTTCCCCAGCTTCTCTTTGATCAGCTGCTTGAGCTCCCGACCGGTAAGATCTGGCATCACTTCCAGAAGAAATCCTTGACCATTCAGCAGCACGAACGACACCTCCATCGCCACAAACCGCAGCGGGGCCCCGACTCCTCTGGGCCCCCCAAGTTAGGTCTGACGAGCGAAAGGAGTGAAGCGAAAGGTTGGATCGGATGTGAAACCAGGGACGATGTATATATGGAGTTGGAACAAACATGTCAAATATATAACTTAATATAACTATAGACTATAACTTATATTATTAGCGGCTTAACTATAACTTCATTGATCTCTCCGTTCGATCCGGTTCGAACGGCAGCCCCTCGGCCGGAAGTGTTTGCCTCAGCCCCGAAGCGGCTGCACTCTGTCACACGGCTGGAGCAAATGCTGCAGTGGAAAATTCAAGAAAGCATCCTCTGCATTGGCCATGTATCTCTTGAATCTGAATGACCTCTATTTTGGACCACCAATCACCCAAAATATTGTCTTTTCCTGAAGGCTTTTCAAATCGAACATCTCAGGTACCCTCAGCATAATTTGGAGCAACCTGCAACGAAATGGCTCCAAAAGAAGCACGATACAAACATGTTCCACTTGACCCCTTAGGAAAACTGGTTTGTTTTCACAGTCATCCACTGGAGTCACTGGATCATTGTGAAATCCTGGATCCACCATCGTTTTGATGCCGGCCATGATGCGCGACGCGGACGCTCTTTGAGCAGCTGAGGTTCGTTTGCTCCGCAGTATCTGCCACAGTGCGGAGGCATTCTCGATGAAATATCCTCCTGTGCAAAGTGAGGATTTCAGAAATAGGAGACCCCACATCATCACATCACCGGATTGTAGGAGGGATGTTCCCAACAAAAACTCATTGTGGTGTGTGAAGCATGTGAGTGAAACATCGACATTTCGTAGCAGGCCATGTCCCTCTGCTAGGCCCAGCCCAGTTGTTTCTATTGGGGATTGGGATCATTCCCTCCTTCTCTCGTCAAACATCGACGATTTGGGAGTAAAGGATCCACCCTTTTGGGACCTTCCTAGGAAGTCCCCCGTTGCAGCCCAGTGGATCTCCGTTGGATCTAAGGAATCAGGCACTCTATACCAGCTGCTTCCGGACACGGGGTCACCTGGCTGGATATCTCCTAAACAGGTCTCCAGACAGGGCACCCCAACAGGAAGCGCTAGGTAGGTGTGTTTTTGTTTCATCTGTGACCAGCGAGCAGACCGTGATTCACCACAATCCGGACTGCGGTGCATCTGAATCGGTTGGGCAAGGCAGCTACCGTGGCGCAGGACGAAGCGCGCACGGGCTTCGCACCAACATGAGTGTCCCATTGCGGTTGGCCAAAAGAAACGATCGCAACATGCGATACGTCTCCTTGGTGGAAGACAGAGCACTTCAGCTGCACCACTGCTGGCCTTGTGGAAGGCGTGTGGATGAACCCCCAAGAGCTGGCGATACCAAAACACTAGGCGTGTGGATGAACAAACACTGGACTGACAAATCCCAAGCTGGTTGGTGGTTTCAACTAAATTGAAACATATTAGTCAGTGGGTTCAATCATCCCAAGTAAATGGTTGAAGAGACCTTGGTTGTTTAAGACATTCCGACTCGGAAAGAAGGGCATGTTGAGCAACAAAAGAGAAAACACCAACTGTCCATGATCATCCATGATCTCAAGCAATGCCAGGCATTAAATCAGGAACCCCTTCGTGGAGGTCACCAGCCCTTCGTGCGGATACGTTTCATCATCAGCTGTTCTGGGCGAAAACCACCTCCGAGGTGGGACGAAAGCGCCAGAAGCATGACAATTCAGAAAAGCATAGGAAGCCCAAGAGTGGACAGCAACGGCACTGAGATCCTAGCGTCCTAGTAGCGAACATTGCTCCTAGTAGTAAGGCCAGGAGCCCCTAGTAGCGTCCTTGCTCCTAGTAGCGATGCCAGGAGCCCCTAGTAGCTTCTTGTTTCTATGTATATGATTGTACCGTACCGGCGATTTTCACATGGTCGGACACAGCTTAGCTCAGCGCCAGAAGCGCTCGGGCCGCTTCGGGCTGGTCAAGACCTGACGCCGGGCTGCGCCCGGGGCAAAGTGCAATCCACACCCACCTTGTAAGGGTATATCAACCAAAACCCGGTGTATTCACCTGGTCTTACTTATTTAAGCCATAAAGAAAATGGACAAAGAAGGGCTTGAAGAGTTTGTGACTTGGGCCTGAATAGCATGGTTCTCTTTCAGTTGTGTCCTGAACATGGTTCTCCTCTGCTCATCCTCAAAAGGTCAGCCTCTGCTTAGCCATGCAGCTAAGGTTCATATTCACTGACATGACGGTGGAAGAACAGGTGCATGGTGGGAGAGATCAGGAACACTTAGGACATGTGCAAAACACTGATTCAACAATCACTAGTAGGTAGGATATATTGTGAGGATAGGATCTATCTCAGGGGGGTGTTCAGAATGTTCTTCCTATACTCCAGCAAATCACCAGCAAAATCCAAAGACCTCCAACCCGCTCTCTGGCCAAACCCGATCCACACGTGTGCAATGCACGCGTGCCTCCAGTTGGGCGGCCGTGATGTTCGAGGCGCCCAAGCACTTGGCACGCCCGGCTTTCACCTGGTCGATGGGAACCATGTCGTCGACGGGAATGCGGGAGGGGAGCAAACCCAACGAAGCATGTCCAAGACGGTGAAATGCGTATCCCATAGACTCCATGGGACTGCCATAGGACTGCCGCCCCATTGACCCCCCTGGCACCACCCCAATGGGGCGGCATATATGGCAGTCCCATGGATTATACACAGAGTCACAGAGTTATCAGTGGTGTGTGGAAGGGTTCTTGGATCTTCTTTGACCATGCCGCGGACCTGCCTCATCTTCCAAGACAGACCTGGGCAAATTGGACAAGGAATTTACATTGACCAGGAATTAAGAGTCTCAGGTGCTCAAAAGTTCTGCCAATCAAAAGTTAGAAGAGGACGGCACAACACTTACAGGGATCTCAGGCGAGCATGCTCTGATCCTTTAAGAATGTCTCAGTTCCACCATGTTGGAACACTAGCTGCTTCAGCACAACGAGCCCATTGGAACAATTCATGCACGAAATGATCAACCACCTGGATTCCAGTAACAAGCCCAAGAAAACGTGGTTAATAGCAGCCCGATGTAAGCCAAAAGGCACACCCCTTGGGGGGGGTAGACCTATAGATCAAGTTGAACAATTTCCTAACTAATAGTTGATTCTGCTGTCTCGAGACAAATAGTTAACCAATATCAACTAATCGTCAATACATGTCAATACTAAATACAAGCATACATAAGCATTTTTTTGCTTAACTAGTGTGAGACAATGTTTGGAGCAAAGCTGTTGTTCAAAGCCGTTGTTGAATCTATTTGTTTGGTTCAGCTTTTAGTTTCTACTTTTTGTTTGGGAGGGTACATCTTTTTATAACAGAACAACTTGTTCTTTGCCACCAAAATATGTATGTTTTTGTGTTCCACTCTGCGGTGATTGATTGTGCGATTTTGACCTATGGACATCAATTTTCTGTAAACATAATAAAAATACACATTTCATATTTCTGGTGAAATTATATACTGGATTAGATTGTTTGATGGCTTTGTAGTGATGCCACCTTGGGACCGGAAGACCATGGGAGATGATTTGTTGGGCCGCAGGCCCGCAACAGACACCCACGCAAAAAAAAGTACATGTACAGTAAATTTATACTACCATATGGACCATATCTCTACAATATCAATATCTCATGTACTTTTTTACATGTCTATACTACCCAAGGTCGTCGGCGACTTCACTCTATTTTCCGATATATGATATGACTTGAAACATGAGTTTACCTTCTAGTTGTCCGTTCGTTGGGGACCCCAGTCACGGGTTCCCCCTGTCACGACGCCCAGCCACCACAACGTCTCCAATTTCCGGTCGTTCTCTGGAGCCCGGTGGAGCATCAAACAATCCACGGCACCAGCACCTCGGCACGGACGCCGTGACCGGCACGGTCGTCCGGTCCGGGGTCTTGTGCCACACTGACTGGTGACATAGCATGAGTTATATTGGGGTAGAACTCAGTGACGGTTGTTCCAAACATCCTGAGAAAGCCGATTGATTGGCCGATGGATCTGAACAAGACATATCGAGTTACAATGAGTTACACAATGTTACAAGTGCTTTGATTCAACTGCAATCAGTCAAAAAGGTGTTCGCTCTTGACTTTCAAGCCTTTCTCATCTGGCAGCTGATCCTTTGCCTCCACCAGGATTCCACCCTACACGTCTTCAACACACCTTTTCGCATAGAAGTTCGGATTGCCTCTGAATCAATGTGGTCCAGCAGCTGTTCCATCTGGCTGTGAGTCTTAAAAGAACAACGGTCCAACTCGGTGTATATCGCCACTGTGTCTAACATGTCTGATTGATTCTGCTCCTTCTTGGCCGTGGATCATGGGGAACTTAGCTCACCTCCATCTGGCACCAGCACGTTCTATGTACAAAAGCCAGGTATGGCGAAAGCACTATTTCTCGATTCTCCAAGTTTCTCCTTCCATGCATCAGTCAGCCCAGCTGCAGCGACTTCACGCCCAACGTCCATCCTCAAACATCATCGCTTGAAAACGCACGCCGCCTTCAGGCACCCTTCAGCACTGCTAGGATCTCCTTCGCCAACCCGCCGCCGGAGGCGCAAAGGCAGCTGCTGCCCTCGATCCGAAAGGCGTCACCTCCACGAGGAGAAGCGCGCTCGAAGGTCGGGTTGGGGGGGGCTTCGAAGGTTTTCGGGGGGCATCGGTGGGTGAGGTTTTGATAAGAGTTGGGCTGTTTTTGTTGGGGATAAGCTATATATACTTATACCCACCGGTGAAACCACATGGAGTTGAGTCCTTCGGATGCATGTTCGGACGATCGACCGAGGACGAACGAATGAACGACGGTCATCCAAAAAGGACGAGGTGGAAGAAGGATTGGTGTCGTACCTGGATAGCACAACGTTGAATGAATATCACCATCTTTGGGCATGCAATTTTACTGTTGGCGCTTGGCTGATTGGCCGGACGATTTGAATGAGCAACTATATTAAGTTTAGAGGGTATCACCATACAGATCATACAGAGGAAACACCAAACTCTATATTTGGTCATGGTTTAACTTCTGTAGCTACGGCCACATGGCATGAATTCTTGGCCAAATAGCTAGCTTGAAGTAGAATTTCAACACTTCCTGAAGAAAAAGAGAACTTGTTGCACACCAAGCGCTCTCCAGCTTCACTTTACAGCATCTGCATTATAGCAGGTAGAGGTTGAAAAAAACATGATACCCATCAAATCTGTGCGTTCAAAGAGTCGTCGACCACCGATCGACCGCTGGCAAGGCCTTGTAGGTTGCAGAGCTTCGCGCCCGCCTCCTGAGGCGCACCCCAAACCCTGGTTGATGCCCCAAACGAGACTTGATGCAAGCGCTTGCGCTCGACCTGGCACATCCTGGCACCACTCTGACTGCAAAACGGCATCCTGAGCACACAAAACAAACAGAATAGACATGAATAGATCCGCTGAATAGACTACAGGCAGGTCACGCGTAGCCTATGGTATTTGTCAGGTTTTGACCCACACCTAAATATGCCAAATCAAGGTATGACCCCAAACTCAAACGCGCAGGTTTATTAGGGGCTAGTTATAGATGTTGTCCATCTGGTCAATCTGTATACGATTTAGGTTGTCAAACTTTTGGAACCGGGGTGCCTTCCAACATGTTGGTATGAACAATCATAGCGTCCTTATATGGATCTGATGAGCAAAAGTACACAAAGTACATATAAATGTACATACTGTGCACATGTACCTTGCTTTCTTCAGTACACATGCACACACTTATGTATACTTAAGTCATCTTACCGCATTACTGTTGAGACAGTATACATGTACCAAGTTCTTTCACATGCTGCTCAACGACTCCCCAGGACATCGGTCCGGACGTCCGACGTCCCACCCAAGCAAGGGGTTTTGTGGGTCACAGCTGGTACACCATCCCTGCGGCCGCGGCCTCCCATGAGGAAAAGACTCTTGACTAATATGTCAACCCCCCCCCTATATATGAAGAGGGTAAACATGGGTAAACGGTAAACTACTACTCCATGTACTTATGGTCCAAAAAAAGGGATTCGGGGAAACACATTCTTTCATGACCCGAGTCTCCATGCACCAACACCTACGCTACTCTTTCCAGGCTCCTGAGCAATGATGCTGCCAGCGGCATAGTCCCATGGCTTACCCCCCTCGCTGGCCAGGCCTCACGCGATCCGCGGAATCGGGGGAGACCGGCCGGTGGAAGGACGTGTCTCTACCCGGGGAGAGTGATGTGTCCGGCGTGTTGGAGCTTTGGAAACTGGCAGAAGCGAAACTCTATGTTTGATACGATTTGTGGTGGGGTTGGGTGGATGATGGGGTGTCAGCCACAAGTCCGGCTTAGTGGTTCCTTCTTGAGGGATAGCTGGTGGGGCCTTCTAAGCGTGCATTTATTGAGACCCCTTCTTGCAAAACAGCACAACCTTCTAGTTCTAGTTGCTGTCCAAACATGTTGCTTCATTGTCAACGTGACATCTCGCTTCAGCATAGCTTAATTAGCCAAAAACAGTTGGTTGTTTCCAAGGCCACCGTTTGAAAACGATGTTGCAGCATATGACAAAGAACGTGTTTTCCAATTTCTTCAAGGCACGTCTTCATTGAACAAACAGAAGCAAGGAAAGTAGCTCCGTAGCCACTACCGTAGCCTATGAGATAAAATCAGGGTTATGAGTTATGAGTGACGAGTTGCCCCTTTGACCAATCACATCTACTCATGATGGACATCCTTTCCTTCGTCTGACCGGACGTCCAGGTCTGCCTGTGTAGTAGGCGTTGGCTCGACCACAAGCCACCCAGCACAGTGAGAGAACCGCCGTGCCCAGCCTGAATGACGGCACGGCCGGCAGGGGTCTTCGGTGGTGATTCCAGATCTCGGGAGACCGAGGCTCGACGGTCGGCAACGTGGCTTCTTCTTCCGAAAAAAGGATGGATTGGGTCTTTATCTCACATGTAACCATCCAATGGGATCCTGGAAATTGGAGGCACTTGGGTAGAAACAGGACGTGACCATCCATGTGATCCGTGGACTGGAATAGTTATATACATGCATATACATGCTTCATCATGCTTCATTGGTGACCCTGATGATCCCTGATGTAAATACCTATCCCATAGATGTATAAGATGCTCACTGGCCTTGGATTGGCAAGATAGATGCTGAAGTTCCAAATGAGAGGCTCGAAGATTCCAGACTAAGCATGTTCATGCATTTGCATATGTAATGTGTCTATGTGAGACTACTAAACTATGGTGGGAGCAAAACAAAAGACTTTGACGCGTTACAACTACTGCGGTGAAGCGAAGTACTATGGACAAACATGGAACACAATTGCAAGAGTTCACAACTATATGCAAGTCAAGCTCTGCTACTAAACTAGCATGTCTGTGACTAAATGGTTTCTTCATGACCAAAAAAAACAACTATTAACCATTCTTTGCTTGATTGTTGACACCATTCCCAACATCCAACATCCATGCAAACCCGTGAGCGGCTCCCAGCCATCTCCGAAGAAGGGACGTGCGGGTCGCACGGGCTCCCGAGAGAAGCAAAGCACTGAGGCCGCCCATGATGCGGCTCACGCCCTCCTGGCTCACGACCAGTCAGAAAGACATGTGGCAAAACCATGAGACCGACTATGCCAAATCCCCAGGAATCCAAATACCTTCTCAGAAGGTACTTGGACCCTCCAAACCCACATAACAGTGTCTCCAATCACCTGACAAGGTCCTTGGATCCCTAGGGAAGTAAGCAGGTGATAGGAACCCATTTTGGCCTCAAGGCCCGAAAGGACTTCAACCTCTGTGATTTCCTTAAGGCAAGAACTCCTCAGCCTCCGCCTTAGAGTGTCCTACACCCCAAAAATCAACTCGAAATCGAACCACATGTTCTCCCGACTGTTTCACCGACCTCGGAGCGCTCATAGCCCAACTCGAAGAGGACCATGGACTCTTTCAAGGACTTTGGCTCCACGCACAATTGGGCGCCGTTCAAATACGCACCTCACCGCCGGTCATTCTGCTGTTCGAGCACCATTGCGCGAGCGAAATTGCAGATAAAATCCGGAAAATCCACCAAGAATGAGGGGCTCCAAAACGGTTTAGTTACTCCACTGGGATTCAGAGATTTCAATCAAGGATTTCAGTAAGAAAATCACTCCCTTCTCCAGCAGGATATCTGAACTTTCCTTGTATAATCTTGTATACAATCTCGAGAACCAACCCATTTCCCATGCACTCGATCTATGGCTTCGTATCAACGATACGGCCGTTGGGGTTCATCTTTCATCCCCACCTTCTCCCTTCACCGCGCTATAGAGCTCATCGGCGTAGGGGTCGTAGACCACGCCCAGTACGGGCTCTCCACCTGTCCGGTGTCGAAAGCAGCGACATGCCATGGCTTTTGGTGCCATGAAACGACTGTTGATCTACTGCTTCTGGCCCATCTCCTCAGGTTCGGTGGTTCGACCCCCCCGTGGCATCCACCTCAACCATCGAACCTCAGGAGGTGGGCCAGGAGCCCTAGGCTAGGGGTTGATCTACTCTGGGTGGTACACTCCGAGTAGAACACACGGAGAGGTGGATGACTCCGGAAGTCATGACCATCGTCCTTCACTTCCCATGGCCCAGGGGGTCGCCAGGCTGTGTCGTCTTCAAAAGAAGTAGCTTGGATTTAGCGGGCCCGGAACCGTGCGAAAAAACACATACATATTCCCTAGGGCTCCAAGTACTTCCTCAGAAGGAATCCCAATCGGCCAAGGGCTCTAGATGTGGATGAAACAATTTGAGAGTACTCACGGAATCATGGTATAGACGGTATAGACGTCCTACTAACTATGACCTTACCTGACCTTTCAGATGAATCCCGTGGCATGGGAAAGATCATCAGAATATGTCCCTAGGGCTCCAAGTACCTTCTGAGAAGGTGTTTGGAGTGAGTTTAGAGCGTTCAAATACCTTCTGAGGAGGTACTTGGAGCGCTTGGATCATTCCGAATGCTCACAGCCCTTAAAACCTGGCGCCACCATCGACCACCCAGGTAGGTCCTGGTGCCATAACTCACAGCCCCCAACTCCTGAGGCTTGCACCTACACAAAAGCCAAGGCTAACCTGAGGCAGTGGCACAAAGACACGCACTTTCTCTAATTTATGCAGTCTACTACCGCTCTCGGCTGTTGCTGTCATGGTATGTGTGGAGATGTTAGAGAAACTGCCGAACAAGCAAATCGTGCTGTCTTCTTTAAGTATGGCACAGTCCCATTGGCTTGGGGTTGCCATATATGATAGCAGGACAGCAATTTTAGGTAAAACATGACTTCAATTGATGAATACTTAAAGCTTCGACTTGTGTATCGCCCAGAATGGATCATGAACTGGAGGACAGCGGTGTCTTGACCTGGCCAAGATCCAGGACGTCCATGCATCTCCAGGTCGTGCTATTTATTTATATATGAACATTCATATATGCAGTATTTTACAGGGGAGACCAACCAACCAGTGGGTCTTGGTCCAAAAATAACTCAATCCCATTTCTACTTCTCTACTTCTCTGAGCCGTTCGCCTTCTCAGCTGCTGCCCAGTGGCACAACTCAGCTGAATGCCATAGACAAAGTTTGTTGTGCCATCAATGGGATCCTCAGTCGAGCCAAAGAAGCCTAGGGCCCTACTAGAGCCCTAGGCATGTCAATCTGCCATATTCGAAACAAAGTTACGGACTTTCTTTATCTTATGTTAACTTTTTTTTTCACTCACAACTCGCCGACATCAAGTTGTTGTTTACACATCACCTTCGATAGGAGTACAGTAAAAAATCAAATTCATGGTTGTGGTAGAATGATAGGATCTGGTACACTTCCTCAAGCATACGGCTGCCGGTCAAAACTGAAAGACGCAGAGCTTCACCCTCTGAAGTTGACCATGTTGGGTGGGCCGTTCTGTTGACGGTCAACCAGTCGGGACCTCAGTTTTGACCCACAGCCACATATCCCCTCATCATCTCTCATCTTTTCTATGATCAATTCAATTCTCTACAGCTGTCTTTCACTCGCATCTCTGCAAAAACGGTCCATCAATCCCAGTGTGTTCTTTTCGCGCCCCATGCCAGCGAGGCAGGACGCCCCACGGCATAGGAGACCTCTGTTCCCCTACAAACCATCACATGTCATGCTAGTCACTAGTCTTTTGCCATTGATCGGCGATTCGGTAAGAACCATAGAGAAAATCCAGAGACACGGCACAAATTACCATAGTATAGTTATAAGTTATAATCTATCCTAATTTGTTCAATCCCATAACCAAATACATCCAAGAGGCCACAATCCACGTCGGCGCCTCCTTGGTCATGGGTCATTCACAAACAGCTTTCTCTCAGGCCCAGAAGTATGCAAGGGTTAAGCTTGGTGCCCTCAGCGTACCATAATCAAATGCCCGTATCACCACTGATGGGCCAGCATTCAATTTGGGCCCCGTTGAAAATGCATATACCGTATACATCATGCATCCGTATACCGTAAAACTGCACTGACCTGGTCACCCTCTCTCGACTTTAAAAGTGTCTGGACCCGGTCCTTTTTGCAGAACACACGAGCTTTGCTGGTCGAAGAGATCAACCGAAAAAGGCAGAAAAGGCTCGGCCAGAAAAATGTCATGGCTCAGCCATCTCAAAGTCGTACCCTTTTCTGGTATCCAAAGAACTTCGCACACTTCGCTCCTTTCTGAGAAACAATGCTCATCATAATTTTGTTGTGAGGGCCTGCTGGCCACTTAAAAGAAACACTTTCAGCTCCCAAGATCATGGACCGTGGGACAAAACTTGGACACCACCACAGGTCTCGGAACCCAGCCGATTCAAGTGTCTTGGATAAGGAAAACTGGGCCTGCATCATAGTATACTCTATTTGCATAAATTAAACAAATACATCAACCAAAACACATGTTGACGCGCTTTGACTTATAATGCCACATGAACCATGAAACATCACCTGTCTTCACTACACAACCGTCAACCCCATAGGAAGCCATCTCTCGTTTGCTCCACACCGTTTCCACCGGTCTCTGCCGCGCCACCGTCAGCGCCACCGGCGGCAGCCCGGCGGCCGCCCGCGCCGCGGCCGACTCCTCGCCGATGAGCTGGTGCGCCGGAAAGGCGCGACGGAGGCCTCGGGCGAACAACTTCCGTCGCGGAAGACCGGAAAAGGAGCGAAAGGCATGTGACATGGAGATACATGGAGGCCAATGGGTTTCTTGTGGGGGGAGGCGGTATTTGTTTTCTTAGTAGAAATGGTTCTATAGTACAAATGGGGGGAGTCCAGGAAGAAAGCAAACACCTACAGGATGGAGTTGCGGGGTGGTCTTGAGTCCCCAGTGGATCCACTCGACTGATTGGTCGCTTCACCTCACTGAAACAATATTATATACGTAATTATTAGGTCTAACCATGTCTAACCTAATACCTGTAACAATGGATGATGATGGTTAGGTTGCAGGCCTTGCTGCAAAAATGATGATCATTGTTGACTGACTGTTGCAGGTAAGAACGGACAGACCCAAATTATATAGTCAGTCAATATCCGACATGAGCTACATTGCAGCTACATGCCTCTGGGGTCTTCACCCCAGTGTTCCACATATCCCCCACCATGGGAACACCAAATACATTGCGGGTCATTGCGGCCCTGGTCACCCAAAAACCACCCGCCGCTCAAAAGAAAACCAACACCGATCGCCAGTCTCACCGGCCTCGCCTTCAATGACCCGTTGCTCGTTCTCTTGGTCCGTTTGAGTGACCGGATCGATGCTCTCGGTGTCCTTCCAATCCACCTGCGCAGCCACCGTGCTGGGTGGTGCAAGTTCGGCACCGAAGACGGAGGAGGCAGTGATCAGACTGACAGTTTTCGCAGCACGAGGTGTTTTCGCATCGCGGTGAGCGTATACAAAAGATCGGACTTGGACTTGGGGGAACAAACGAAATCCTTCAAAGAATGGTTTTCGAGGTTATCCACTGACTAGGTAGGGATGGATTGGATGACAATGGACTGGTTCCATTACTTGACCATCCGCGGGCATTTTCTTGAGAATGTAGAACTCCAGCGAGAGAAAACCGCCACGGGGAGCATCAAATCAAGATGGGCCTCACGTGTTGAGAAAGACAAACTGGGCCTCGTTCAACCAGTTTGTCTCAGCAAGACTCTGGTTGCACTCATGATTCGAGAAACTGTCCGAGTTGAATAGCAGCAACCATGAGCAACTCTGATCTCGTCTAATGTCTGAAGAGAGTCCGCCGTCCTATGCATCTGTCACATGCAAATTGTGCGCCGTCGATCCCTGTTAAGAAGATACCTGTATACCCTGTATAATAGCCTATATATATATACGACCATAATGGAATCCCAACAACTCAAGGCCCATCGACTCATGTGACATCGACTCAAGCCGTCCCATCAAAAACAACCCAGCCTTCTTCTGCAAGCAATCTCTCATGGCCTGGCCACACTCCAGCGCCAACTGTGCTGCCACTGCCACCTCGGCTCCATAGCGCCCGCGCAGCAACGCGCTGGCCACGCGCACCTGCGCCGCGGCGGTCCGACGGGCACGGTCGGACGGCCCGGTGGGACGGCCCAGGTCAGGTAGAGGCTCCGTCTGCTGGAAGGACACATATAGTCATTATATGATTAACCAGTGGATCGCTATCTGCACTTGCTGTGGAGATACCTGAGATTTACTCGAATACTTCTTGGTTCTTCATGACTCCAAACCAGTGGCATCAAGCAGGCGGCATAGGTTGGATGTGGCCGCACCTTCCGCCGAGACCGTGTCAGCGCAAGTGCCACAACGGAGGCGCCAGCAGCAGCCAAGAATGCCACATGAGCCGATGACCATGTCATGACTGAAGTGGGAAAAGCCAACTGAGTGAGCCATCTGAGCCATTTGAACTCTCCTAAGATTTCCTCTCCAAGTGAGATCAAATTGGGTCGCAAGCAAGACTAACCAATATTACTATTATATGTTTTGTTTTAACCTTCTATCTCTTCTGACATACTTGACACCTGACAAATTCCAACTTGAAATGGGTTCTAGCATTCTGAACTGCCTCTCAGAATATTGGTGGAGACCAGGATTTTTGTTTGCTCCGTCAAACCAAAGCAAAGTAAGTTGTCCGGTTGGCCATTGGTCTCCTTTCTTTAAGGCACCCTCCGAACAAGTGGTGAGACCTCTTTGGGACTGGGGAGGTCTGCCTTGGTTGTGTTTGAGTCTTTCCATGTGATGTCTTGAGAAATCTCTCGACCAACCAATGGTCGATCTGTCGACCAACATTCGCATGTGACACCGATGGTCGGTCGCTGACAGGTCGTCATGGTGAGCGCTGCGAACGGGCACGGAGCCACCAAGTATTGCGGCAGGCTGCAGGTCAACCAGCATGTTCATCTGCTGTAGTTGTTGAAACTCCTTTACCCCAAATCCCAAATCCGAGTCTATGCGATCTGCACGGAACTCCAAAGACCATGGCATGATGGACCGATCATGAATACAGATTCTTCGGACTGGGCTAGTCTTCAGTAGTTGGCACCGACACACATGAGCGACGTGCAAAACCTCTTATGTGTTGTAATGCGCACTCTTCCCAACGTTATCGTTTTCTTCTGTAAACCTTATCGTTCTTTTTGTGAACCTTATCTTTCCTCAAGGTTTCCTTCACTTTTCTTACTTAGTCTTCACTGTAGCGATGCTGATGCCTTCATCGCAGGTTTTGGCAGTTGCTCACCTCTGCTTCCAAAGGCGCCCCATTGGTTGAACGATGTGGCGATGACCTCCCGAAGCTCCTCAGCTGTTTCGGCCGCCACCTGCAGTGGAACGACCAGGACGGAGGAGATGTTGACCGAAGGAGTTGCCCCGGTGTATCCAACCCAGGGCATCCAGGCAAACCACAATAGCTGGTAACCAGTGGTTCCAAAGACTAAACCCATATAGGTCCACTGGGATCCACTGGGCATGGGGCAAACCACTATAGTAACCGGTGGTCCCCAAATAGATAGATAGTGGCACGGTTTCCTGTCTGCATTTTCTACCTGGAGATCTACGAACTTATCTGTAGGGGGTCTATTATATGTATATATATATATATATATGTACATATATGTATACAATATATATACAGTAGGTAACCAGTGGTTCCAGAAACAACCAAAGCGTAGACCGAACCCTAGTGAACTTGTACAGTGGTAGCTGGGATCCACGACGTGCTGATCATGCTCATGTTCAGATCAGTGAGTTCGAGCCACCACCCCTTCTTTTTGGACAGTGACATGTAAATGGGAGATCGGATGTGGCGTACTTTGGTGAGTTGTATCCGTTTGTCTATTTCAATTACAATAAGGTAAGGCAATGCAAGGAAGGATTGGCCTCAGGTTCGGACTGTGGTAAGTTGTACAACGAGTGTGCCATTGACACTGTGTTCTTGTTGTTTGCAGATGTTCACAGGGCCTCAGGGTCACCGTAAGACATCAACTGAGCTAATCAAAACAGTGATGCTCAAATACTCATACCCTGCCTCGATGCTCCGTGGTGTATCGACAGCATCCAGAAAAGACTATAAACGTTGGCTCCAAGAGTACTTGTGGTCATCAAAGAAGGTCTCAAACAACAAGAATAACTTGTGGGTGTTCTCACGAGGTGGTGCCCATGGCACCAGCAGTGACAGAAATAATTCCACATTGCTGGGTGGCTTGGGGTCCATGAGGGTGCTGTCGTTCAGTGGCACTGGCAACCAGTTTGCATCCAAAGTAGCGATTTCTGCCACCTTTTAGGATGCTATCTACAATCGCAAGTTCGACACGGACACCGTGTGAAAAAAAGGTCATGACCCAGGAAGGGTGCTTCCCTAGGGCTCCAACCAGCTCCTGAGAAGATGGTTGGGCTGGATTTGGGGGATCTAACCACCTGCTGAGGAGATGGTTGGAGCCCTAGGGCTTGGTCGTTGAAGAGTGCTGGACCCCATCGGTGTGTCGCTTGGCCAGGCCTTCAGATTCACGAAGATCTCATCTCGGGGCACCTTTGCTCGTTGAATGCCTGGAGCTTGTGGGACGACTTTGGCGTGCGACACTCGCTTCGCGCCCCACACGTGGAGGCCAGATTCGCGGTTGTGGAGTTCAGGGCGGGCGGGCATGCATCATGTTAACATCATTGGTCGTATATCTCCGTTTCTGGGGGGGGTGCAAGGTTTGAGCATGGAGATTCTCAGAACCATGGTCAGTTCGTTCTTCACCCCAACACATCGTTCTTCAAAGGACTCACTGATTAAAGGGTTGTATAGAATCCATAGCGTTAAACCAGTGGCCTCAACCAGGACCTTCCCAGCCTCATGGCTTGGAGCTTCCCAGGCTTTGGGACCGAACTTAGGACGGCCGACAGCCGAAGCGGCCGATTCCCGGCTTCGCTAGCAGTGTGACCGCTTCGTCACTGGGTATCGTTCGTCACCAGACCCTGGAAGAGACTCACATGGAACCTCAAAACCACTGGGTTGGTGAGGAACATGGTCTTCCAAAGGTCCATGTTTAGGCTCCATGTGGGTCTCTTTTGGGTTGTAACGACCAAAACATCGGGGATCAACCATTCTGATGTATGTCCCTCGAAGCAGTGAGACGTCGGTCCCTGGGGCCAAGCCACGACTGACTACTCGCCAGTTCGTACTTGACTTCCTCGCCAGTTCTGCTTCGATATTGGACAATCCCTTGGGTCTATCCTATTATCGGTAACGGTGGATGATGATGGATAGTAAAAGCCTTGTTCAAAAATAGTGATAATTGTTTACTGACTGTTACAGGAAAGAACGGACAGACTACCTTACAATCCCCCTCAATCAACTCAATCAACCAGGTTTCTCTTCACAACATCCACATCCTGGCTGATGACATAGAGACTGATGACATAGTCAAGGCTGGACCATCAATCACCCAGCTTCTGGGATCCGTTTAAACACGTCGCACACTCTCCATCCTGCTTTCAAACCCTCCATCCTGCTTTCAACGCCTCGTGCCACGGCCTCTTCTGTGCCATACTCCGCGGCAGTGTCAACGTGGCGGACGCCTGGCCAAGGGCCAGAGAGTTGTTGCTGCTTAGCTGGGGAGCCGAATGGAGATCTGAATATATATATATATATATATATATCGTCTCTCTCTCTCTCTCTCTCTTTCTGTCTACCTGTACATCTTCGGATGTCTCTTATCAACGCAACAACATATTTGTGAAACATCCAGGGCTGAGCCAAATTCAGCCCTTTCGAGTCTTGCACAAAGCCTTGGGAACAAAATGTCCTGCAGCACATAAAGCGATGATGAAAGCGTGATACACACCCTTGAGAAGCAAGGACAAATGGATCATAGAATCATACCCTGAAAACGAACCCACCAAATTGACCCCTGTTTACTGAAGCCGAAAGCCAGTTGATACATGTTCCATGTTAGCCTTTGGAGGTACCACCTATGCCAACTCATCTACCCCATCTACGCCTTCTCGCAATGCGGCAGCCACGCTCTCCTCGGCTTCTGAGGGCGACAACTTCCACGTGCCTGCAGGCGCCACGGCACGTGGGATTGAATTGATATACATATTGATAGATACAGCACTTGGCAACCCATTTGTGTGTAAGAACCACCGACTGTGACTTTCCAAGTTTCACGTCTTAAGACGTTCCTTTGTTCATCCAAGTCCATTCCCTTTCAGGCAAAAAAAACCGTCCCAAATGGTGAAACCCTCCATCCAACCGGGACCCTTTTCCTCGCTGCATCCGACCCGTGCAGGACGGCGCAGGTGGGTGTGACACTGTGTTGGAGGCGTGTGCGGCCCAAAGGCGCCAAAGCTGGTCTTCTGATACCCCATGATTCCTGCCTCGCCATGGTTCTTTAATTGGTTGGAAACCCAAACATCCCATTAGTAAAGCTTTCCCTACAAACTCAGGTCGACATGTTTCGGTTATTGTCTGGGAAGGTGAAACAAGGGATATGAAAGAAAACGTTCAGAACAAACTGACGCTGTCATATCACATCTAGAATCTTTCCTTCAAGTCTGTTGGAGAACAAAACAGTGCACCTCTGCCCAACTTGGCCCGAAAAAAAACACATCCCTCTCGATCCATGCAATGCACTCCCAACTGGGCGCAGGTCCCCCGGTTGGACGTCTCCTCCCGTCGCGGAACCGGCCGCTCCGCCTATGCCGGGGCCCAAAGGACGGCCATCTCTCAGCGTCCATCGCTGCCCGGCGAGCGAAGCGCTCGCGTTGGCCTGGCCGCGGACCCGGTCGGCACTGGGACACCGAAGCGGGCCTGCGGGTGTCAAGTGAACAGGCAATACAAAAGAATATAAGTAAATAAATATACATATAGTATATATGTGTGTTTTGTATGCGCATATATATATATATACTTCTGGTAGTCATGTAGAATCTGGCAAGTCCCCTTTCTACTTCACAATGTCGAGATATGTCAAGATATGTCTGGTCACCTGGCAACAAGGTGACAAAGTTCCTGGGTTCCTGCCCTCAATTCGGGTTGACAACATGCGCAAGTCTTCGAGGAGAGGACTGGAGTTGAGCTCTTTTCCGGCCCTGTTGTGTCTGATGACTCTGCATCATCTGCTGTTCTGTGCTCGGATGAAGAGAAAACACATCAGCACATCCATGAAGCTGAGAATGAGGAAACATCAAGCCATACCAAGCCTGATGTCCAATGAGAAAAGTCAGTCAAACATGCAAGCAGGCTAGTCAACGGCAGGCAAGCCGCCACTGGAGGCGCTCATAAAAGCATTTGGATGGTCCACACAAGACATATCAAGATATGCACAGGGTCTTTCTGATTGGTCAACCCTCTATGGTGAGGGAGTCCAGTCACTCCTCACGAATGGAGCAGTTTGTAGCACGGTACAACACGAGATCCCAATTGCTTGGAGCTGCTAGGATACCTTTCATTTACCACTTAGATGTGATTCTAACCTCCCAAGTGTGGGGTGATCAAACATGTTCAACACCTTTGGCCTGGAATTCGCCGGGCATTCACCTTTGTTCCATCCCTTTCTTGGGGGGAATTCCTTCTCCTCTCAGACCGCCCAGATCTCCGATTCCGCCTCGATCCCCAAGAGTGGCGCCTCTGCGACCTGGCGCTGCTTTCGCGCCGCGTCGCCCGGAGAAAGCGCCAGTGGAAGGCCAAGTCTCCCTCCCTTGGCCTCCTGATATAGACCTATTATATAACCATCATGAATATCTTATTGTATTGTGATATATATATAATATATAATACACAAACATATAATATTATGTGTGTATATATTGTATATATATATATATTACTATAATAGTATCATATTATGATACAGTATTACGATGTACAGTATTATGTGTTTGGATCTGTTTGCTGTGGATCCAATACGACGCAAGTGCTTGGGCCCGTTGCCCTAACAGAGATACGTTGTCCCATGAGGTCTGGCTCATCGGTCTGTCATCACCCACCGGAAGGGTCTGGGCACCTCCATGGTCACATCTTCCACAGCGCCGGCGATGCCTGGGTATGGCCCACCGCGCCCGGGTAGAACCCACAAGACACAAGTGCTTTTTCACAGATCGGAGACTATCTTCAGCACAGACAGTGCGTTCCTTCTCACCGGTCGGCATGCCTGGGGCATGGAATCGGGCCAGTTGAGGGCCTCAAGCACGACTGACTTTTGGAACCCCCATGAACCCCAGACTTGGGAGGGTGTCTCAGTATTTGTTCAGGACCTTCTATAAGACTCTCGGCTCAATTCCCACATGGTGACTTATGATCTTTATGATAATAAGATATGATAAGGCTTTGCTCATTTCATGCTCAAAATAGCATGAACATCGCAGAGATCTCGGAGTTCTGTGTTTGGCTGTGCGTGCATGCGATCGTAGTTCTCCGAGACACGCTGCACGGTGCTCCACACGGAGGCCATGACCTGTGTGGCGGCGTTGCTCAATGGAGATCCGCAAGTCTGACAGTATATCTTCTCCCAATCCATGTCATGGGTGGGGTGTGCCTAACACAAAAACAAGGAAAATACATGAAAAAAAAACAGTTACTCTAGTTCATCCTTGACACACGTCACTGCAGCTATAGGTGCCCATGGTGGTCTCCCATGTGTTTTGAAACCCAATGGACATCTGCTTTGAGGCAGCAACGGATTCCTTCGACTCAAACCCCATTGGGGTCCTCCCGGCGTCGCCAAGGCCTTTCCGCCCAGCCTCAAACTGGGGCTCTTCACCCGCTGCTCTCTGCCTTCGGAACGTTTGAGAAAGCCGAGAAGCCTCGGATGTTTATGATCTGAGATAGATTTCAGATATTTTAAAGGATGTTTGGGGTCTGCTGGTATTGACGGTTTTGGGACGATTTGGACATGTTTGAAGCATAAGAGTGACTCCAAAATAACGTGAATACCGAATACCCCTTTGCATCCCTTTGCAATAAATCGCATACAGTTTCCGTATATACTTGGGGACATTTACATCTACTTGGACTTGTATACAGTTTTGTTCTGTTTCTAGGCCCGCAGTTTCTACCTCGGACAAACACGGTCAGCTCACCCGTGTCTCGATGTGAATGTTGCCGCCAGTCTCATCCAATTCCCCCAGGTACATCCTGGACCCATCAGCACACTGGGATCATCATTTTGACATCCCCTAGGGCTCCAACGATATCCTTATAAGGTGAGGACTGCCCCGCCAAAACCCCACCCACCCCTGTCCCGTCAACATGTAGGGGTGCATAGGAGTACCAGTGCCATTTCTCACCTCTGAAACCACAGTACCCAGACGCTCCATGGGACTGCCGTATATGCCGATCAGTTGGGGTGGTGGTTAGGGGGGTCAATGTAGGCGGCATTTATATGATTTTATATGGCTGTCCCATGGAGCGTCTGGGGTATAGCAGGGCCAAGGGCCAACGGTTCACCAGATGACTCCAACAAAGCACCGGAGGGTGAGGATCCCTTTAGACTTAGAGTGATCTGGACCCTGCTCGAGCTCTCTGAAAGCACAGTAGACCGGCGAACTCGTGCCGAGCGAGGGTAGGTCGTTCCACCGCGCCTCAGGGCCTCACTCAGCTGTGCCTCCGCGGCCTGGAGCTGCGGCCACAGCGCCTTTGGCGTGCCGAGCCTGGCCAGGCGAAGCCTCGTGCGCGCAGGAAGGAAGGAAAACGGCAGGACCGATGCGAAGGACGACCAGCTTAGGCAGACCCCAAGAAACTGAAGGTCCGACCATCAAACGACAAGAAAAAACAAATCCACTATCAAATCATATCAAATCCTCCTAGATTCTCATAGATTATCATAGAGTCCCGCGATCACGGAGATCACGGAGTCGCCTACGAGTTCCACCGTCTCTCAGTCTCACACGCATAGAAGGCCAACTCGGCCAGGCCGACCTCTGCCTTGAAACGCTGGAAGCCTGGCACCGAAGGACTCGACCGGTCTGCTCCACTGGACGGATCGCCAGACGGAGACCCTGTCTGAGGAGGAGGCCACGAGTCAAGAGGATGGCACCACATGAAGGAACCGAGTCAACGACATCCATCCTATGCCCCACCTCGGTGTGGCCATCGTTCGAAAAGAGGGCGGGCGGCGACCGGTTTCACTGGAACCAATCAAAAGCTTTGAACTCGTTGGATCTGTCAGGTGTTCTGAAGACAGAAGGAACACTTTCGAGTGTTTTTCCCTCCACATCCGGTCACCTGTCCACATCCATCAGTGCCGCAACCGACTGTCAACAGCCATCAGTGCCATGGGAGTGCCATGGCACCAGCAGCAAATTGGCTGTTTCATTAGGTGCCATCAGCGCCTTCAGCTGTTTCTGGTATCTGCAAGATCGCCAGTTTTTCAGCTGCCCATCTCACCGAAGCAGCACATGCAAAATGCACCTGCATCGTCTGCATGGGTGGGATTTTGTGATCTAGCCCCATTGTTTTCTTTCAGGGCTGCCATGTTACAACTTCAAAGGAGGGGTACAAAGGCAATTGGACATGTTCACAAATCAAACCAGTTGATAAACACAACTTTCAGGCATTGTCCCTTTCTGCAGTATTTAAGGCACCAAACAGACTCCAGTCAGTCAGCTGGTCAGTCAGTCCTCGATCTCCAGTTATATAATAGAGCCAACAATTTGTGGCATTCCTTCCAGAAAGTTCACACTGTTGCCCGAGTGCCATGATTGATTAGTTGCAGGCTGTTGCATTGGCCTGGGTACTGAAATAGACAAGCAATGAGCAGAGAAACATAGTTTCGCATGAGTTATGTCTGAACTGGAATGAAAGCAGCTGACAACGCAAGATGGAGTCCCCACCAACGTCGCCTCTTTCGACATCGGTGAGACTTGAGGTGGTGGGCTGTGTGTTATGCCTCAGCTGGCTTGACCATACATGTCCAACAGGATCGAGGTATCTGAAAGCGTCAAACAAATGCAAATAATATTAGACACCAAAAGCCGCTTATGTTTCGCCTGGTCTACTGCAAAGGCATCAGAATGTGTTGACGGTCGTCTTTACAGTGATGCACATGTCGGAGACATATTGGAATACACATCACATGCGTAGTATCATTCTACTGGGTTTTGACCACTTCAAGAATCAATGGGACATTCAAAAGTCGAAAAATGCCTCGAGAGCTCGCCCAGTGGCCCGCCGTGAGGATCGGCATGCAGGTACCTTAGAAGTCACTCTTGACGCAATATGTAAGCAAATGCTTGTTGTCCAACAAAGAAAGCAACCATGACCCATCAATTAATTCCTCGGCCACATCCTCCCAATGAGCTTGGACTCGATCCAAGTTCTACGCCTACAGCTCCTTGGACAGGCATGAACAATTAGGCTGTGAACCAAAATGACAAACGCCTCTAAAAATGTGTTCGAAACCGTTTCTATCTATTTGAGAACCACTATAAGGAACCAACAAAAAATAAGGAACAGCCACTTCCCCAGAAATGGGGACTACTCACCATGACTCCCCCGCAACACCAAGTGAATCACCCATGGGATCGGTCGACCACCCCTTGGTTCGTTATATCGTGGATTGAGAATAGAGGGCACAAAGGCCTGTGGTTTAAGGTGGTTTAGATGAACCCCCATCTGTCTAATCATCTTTTTTCGGTGCCAGTATTTAAGGGCCAGTGCCATTTCTCGCCTCTGAAACCACTGTAAAAGTATATATTCATGGTTCCGCCTCGCCCTGCCGCGATGATCCTCCCTGGTGCTTCCGCATCCAGGGTCCCGCAAAAAACCTGGTCGAACTCGAGTCCGGAGCCGAAACCCACCGAAACCCACCGCGTCACCCGCGGTGTTTCAACGGTTTGGAACCGCGCAGCTGGGTTTTGGGGCGATGGAACCGATCCGGGCGAACCTGGTGGGGCGATTCGAGCGGCCCAGGTACGATCATCTCGTTCCGGTTCCTCGCATTGCCAGGCAATGATGAGGTCCTTTTTCCTGGCAATTGATCAAGAAGCGTGAACATCCATGGCCAGAACCATAGAACCAAACAACGGTTGCTTCAATCTATGTTCCTTAGATTCAATATCTTCCTCGCTTTTGCAAAATTGTACCAATTTACCTTTGCATGTTGTTTTCAAGATCCTCCCTACAAGTAGAGGGGAAATTGAGGCCCCATATTCCTGGGAGGTTTAGGAAGGATTGCTCTTTGGTCTTTGTCAACTGGCTTCAACTCCACTCCTCAGAAGTAGACAAGTAGACTGTAGCCTTGAACCTCTGGATGGGGTGGAATATAGTCTTTGAGAGAGAGAGATAAACAAAAGAACAAAAGAGAGTAGTTCGCAGAGTGCATTTCCGAACAATGAATCTTGGTTACGAACAGGTCCTCGAATCATTTACATGATCCTCTAACGATTAGCCACTGCTGGACTTCCTGTGATTTTTCGGTGCACATGATTTCCTCGATCGAGTCCTGACACGAGCGGAGCAATCGTTGGTGTTGATCCTCGGAGGAAAGCGAGATCGAGGATCCTTGAGAGATCGAGTGAGGATGAGATGTCTGAATGACGAAAGGGGTCAAATGCTTCAAATGACTTTGCTGATGTACAAAAAAATGTGTTTTCTTCAATCCAATGCTGCTATATAGTGTATCATAATAATTCAATATATACTGCCCACATATGGTCAAGGTCAATTGTTGGCAGATTGGCGCAAATGTCGTACCTGCGCCCTCTGGATGCCTGTCCTACTGACATTGTGTTTTTTTCATGATTTTTCAATGGTAGACTGGTTAGGTGGAAAGGGCTCAGCAACGTCAAGGAGTGGTCGCCCCAGGCACTCAATGACTCACTCGACGTGTGCTTGCTTGGCCTATCCATGCCTATCCTCAAAAGGAAGAAACTCCTCCAGCGAAAAGCAATGAACAGTCTCTGATACGCCATCAATACACTGTCCCAAATCACTGGCTGGTGCGCAAGGAATGATCGGAATGGAACCGGGCATCAACAGTGCGAACAGTGGGGGGTCGTTCTCATCTCCCCTTCCCCACCGACTAGGAAAGGCCAGGGCCACACGGCCACAAAAGGCCAGTGACTACTAGATACGAAGTGCGGAACGAACAGATGGAAAAGCCCAGCCTTGGAACTGGTGTTTCGTGCCAAGGCCATCTTGAGCTGTTTGATTAGATTTGTTGAGCGCCTCCCAGCTCTTCGTGGTTTCGCTGTACAAGAAGTGCCTGTGATTTCCTTCAAGGTGCGTTCCAGGTGCCAAGCTCAGAAGGACCTCGAAGCGAAACAAGCGCAACGACACCTATAGACCAAACACCTCATGGGATCATGGAAGATATATCGGTATACACCCCCTGAGTAGTTGCCTTTTTCGAGCACCCAGCTGTAGGCAAAACATCATAGATACACATAGTGTCTGGGTAGATTCTCCAGGCAAGCAAACAAAAAGGACATTCGACTCAGACCTAAGCAGGGAGATCACCTTCGAAAGGACCTCAAATTCTGTATAGTTTCTATCCGTTCTCTCCCTTTTACATCATCATACATAGATGATCTATCAACAGTCAGCTAATTGTTGGTTTCATTGTAGCTGAAGCACACAAACAGGACCTTTCTCTTGTTCTTTCTGAGTCTAAGCTTTGACCCACGCCCCACGTTCTCCGGACCGCACCGTTTCTCCGGTGTGCACCGTGACCCATGCTCGCTCCGCCCAAAGACTCTCTCGCCATTGGCAAGGAAGGTCACGCAATCTTCCTTCACATCCAAGTCCCCAAAGGCGCCTAAGAGGGTTACACCGTGAGCGGAGTTGGAGCGGAGTTGGTTCCACCTGCCGGCTTCTGCCACCGGTGGAACCCGGCAGAACCCGGCAGACCCGACTTTCATGATGTTTCTGCTGCAGAAGGGTGCTTAAAGAGATGCCTCCCGACTTTGGGTTCACCAAATGCTGAGTTGGAGGATCTTAGTACCCCCACAAAAAAAAGGGCTCAAAGGGCTCCGGATATACTATATTGTAATAAGATACTGTATAATAACATGCTCTTGGTCTTTTTACAGGGGCCTGATGGGGCATGTATCAATTCTGAATTCATTGCGAGACTCAGGAACACATTTCTTTAGCAGTCATGAAAAGCGTACAGCGCTAAGTGTTGTGTAGGCCTGGCGATTGGGGTAAAGCTCCGAGCTGCTAAGTCACTTAAATGTTTGAGAATCAAAGGGCCTCATTTGTGAAAATGGGTAGTTGGAATCCCAGTCAGACTTTAGACTTGAACTACACGGACATGGGTAGGCCGTTGTTGTTCATTTGCAGGTGTTTTCGGTCACGAGATGAGCCATTGATCTTCAGCAAGGCCGGCGAGGCCGGCCTCATCCGAGGGACGAGGGGCCTGTTAAAAAAAGGCAAAGGTAAGACCGTGGACAATCTTCTACACATGGACATGCAACTGATTACATCTCTATGGCAGCGGCATCCCTTCCATGAGTACTCAAGTGAATGGCGGACTGTTCGCGAAAGACTTGCAGTCCTGCTAACCACTGTACAGTATATAAATTGGAAGGAGATCCTCAACTCACCAGGTATTTCTCATTTCCCCCGCAGCTGGAGGGCTCCACCATGGAGACGGGGTCGAGACGTCCGGTCATACCTTCTTGGCCGAGAGGCGCGCATGGTCGATGCCTGTGACATTGATGACCAAGCGCCCGGGGGACAAGGTATGATGCACTTCGGGAGCCATCCATCGGGCGATGCACTTCTGAAAAGCCGTCTCGTGGAGGGCGTGGAAGGCGTGGAGTGATATCGCTGATGTCTCAAGCATCACTGGGCTGACCGTGATCCTCTTGCTTGACGCTACAAACGGTTGTGGGATGATATTTATATATACAGTACATAGATAGATCCGACAACATTAATTAATATCACATACAATCAAAAAACTAGAGGTGAGGAATAATGATTTGAACAGCTGCTACAGCCAGCCAAACAGTTTGATCTAGTTGGTTGTAGCAGCTCTTGTTGCCACCAAAGTAACAAACATATCAGGCCTAAAATCGGTTGAACGTTTCTCGATCCTGGTTCAACTAATTATACTTGAAATCTAGATGGCCGTAGGATGTGTTTGCAGAAACTTTCCACACCTCCATCTTGGCATTGCATCATGCCGGAATTCATGGCTGTGGAAATTGATTCTCATCAGCTGCAGCATGTACAAAATCACATCGCCCCGAGCTTGACATTGTTGCAGCGCAGCAAAAAACGCATCCAACCCAATGAAAACAAAACAACTTGGATGTGTCTTGCCCAACTTCTCCAACTCTCAAATGCTCAATGTGTTGGACCAGGGATCTAAGAAACTCTCCCAACTTCTCCAACTCCGATCCCTGATCCGTCTAGTCCACCTCATCGCCTTCCTCTGGGGCCTCAGTTTGGAGAAAGCTGAAGAAGTTTGTAAGTTTGAAGTGCTGGTTCACATTATGTCCACTGATGTTGGGGATTCCTAGCAAGACCTGATTGCAAGTATGTGAGTAAATGTCAGGACTGTTATTCCTCCAGGTTCACTTGCCTTCTTGGTTCACAATTCATAACAACTCTAAGACTTGCCTAGATTCAATGGAATGCACTACCTGCAACAAAGATTCTCACATAGCACCATGTCAATCTATGTCGAATGCTGTTTCGACCCCTGATCCAAAACAGGTCCCAGTCCTAGCCTCTACCGCACTTTCACCCTCCAGTCGCCTATAAAGCATACCCAGTCCAACCCAGTCAAAACCCACACCTCCTTGTCGTGGCGTGTCGTGTCCCACTTTCCCTCCAACTCCGGGCCGGAACACCAAACCGACCAATAGGCCGATGGATGGAGATAGAATCAGTTGCACCAAGAGTATGTACTTCGAGTATTTACTATATACCCACCCTTGGGCCTTTCACCTTCTCCCCCGGAGTCACTCCGAGTCGCATACTCCGCGGAGTCCAAGCGCTTCGGCGCGCCGGCGATGCAGCGCCGCACGAGAGGTAAGCCCATGGCCTGCAGCGCCACCGGTCGACCAGGGCCGGTGAGTGACCAGGGTGAGTGACGTAAGGATACACATATATGCATACTAAGTCATATCAGCTTCAAGATCAAACGTGAAGGCAATATATTATACAGTATATATATATTGCCGAACGACGAGTCATGCTTATTGACTGGCTTCATGGTTAGTTTAATATCAACCTATTCTGCTGGTTCACAGCACACCCACACACACACATATATATATATATACATGCAAACGGTGGGACTGCAGTTGAATAAAATATGAGCTTGATTTGTTAGATGATTTGCATGCATGAATCAATTCTGCCTGCTGTTGAACGCTTGATACACCACCAATACCACACCTTTTGGACCCCAATGATGCAGCCGAATGACCGAAGCAATACCACAGCTAAGAACATCATCAGGTGCTCAAAGTACCTATAGGGCTAAAGTGATGTGATCATGAAACAAGCTTATACTTTAGGTGTAGTGTTTCATACCACACCAATGTGATCTTGAAGCAACCCACTGTTAGCATCCCCTATAGGCCAATTTGATGTCCCATCCATCACATCAAAAAGGAACTATCTTATCAGATCCTATCTGCTATTGTCCGCCCACAATGCATGCGGGAAACAAATGGTGCTACTCCCAACAAAACGAACAATTTTGCAACTTTAACTATGGTAGTGTTATATAGAGGTGTATATAACTTTATATATATAGTATACCTGCAAGTAGCATGCGCCCCAAAGAAAAGGTGTTCCCAACACTTTGATTCATTGACCGCAAGCATCATGCGTGACCAACGTGACGCCTCCGCGATAGAGGTGACCAACTCAGAGCCTACCTGGGTGCTGAAGTCACGGGAGGATTCACAAGAAGAGGTGGTCCATGTGTTGCCTTGACGACTTTTAACCCAGTCCAACTACAGTAATGACAAGTTGAAACATCTCCTTTACATTGTCAAAGGACAAAAAAAGGGGTCGTAAGGATTCACAACAAGAAAGAGCTGCCTTCAAAACAAGACCTGAGCGTCCATGTTTGATCAGATTGGATCAGTTTATTATATGGATCATTATGAGATATTTGTGGTCGTTGAGGATCATCGAGGGTTGTTCTACATGTGTCCTTCTAACTCTTCAACCAACTCCCAGGCGACTCCATCCAAAGTCATCGACCAAGAGCCAAAAGCAACTCCATATCGGTTTGGACTTACTCCCTTGGCTCAATTCCCAAATGGCCAGACATCGATCTTATCAAGCCACCTGGGCATCTGACTGTCCAAAAACCTGGAGCCCCCGAGCCCAGTCCGGTCGTCCACGGCCGCGAAAACTCGTTCGACCGCCACCAGGTCGCTCGGTCAACGGTCGCGCCTTCAGAGACCGAGGAGCTGTTTGGTACATGTAGGAATCCATCTCGAGGACTCCTTCTGGAGGCGCCAAATGCGCCAAGCAACAAATCTCATGCTTCAAGTGGTGACCTGGCCGTGAACACACGCTGGTGGGCCACATGGGAAGGGAACGCAAAGTAACATACCAAGTGCGAAGCACTTCGGTGCAACCCCCAATGCAAGTGATTGTTATACTCCAAGAAATCCCATTGGAAGTGTTCCAGACATGTCAGCATCATGTTGATGGATGGTGCATCCTGTCACATATAGGCTATCTATTTATGTGTGAGGGGATCTAGTGGCATATATTGCACTGGAATTCCAGGAACCTCCACCTTGACGTTGCTCCAGAATCTGTAGAGCAACGACCCACGCTTGGTCAAGTGACGAGTCAACTACTGAGTCAACTGATGTACATCGAATGTGGTTTCGCTGATGTATTCCGAGCGCCAAAACAAAACACAAACTATCAGGGCGCGATGATTCCTGCGATGCTCTTAAGGTGTTCAGGAGGTACACGGTCGTGGTACGCTTTCATCCAAATAGAAGGGGAACCTCAATTTTTTCTCAATGCTGGGCAAAGTTAACTGGTTCATAAACCCCTGTGGCAGCCGGGCTGGGCCAAAACGTCAGGAAATGGAGAACACCTTTGTCGCGGGTAATTGAGATACGCCACGTCATAGCTGAATGATCTGTCAACAGAGTGACCACACAATTCAATAAACAAAGTGAATCCATTTGTTGAACCTGCTATTAAAAAAACACACAGTGAATCCAATAGAAAAGACCGTTATTACGTCAAACAACTTACTGTACAGTAAAAGGAACACACAGTGAACCTGATTAAAACATGGTGCTCCCTTTGATTCCACTGCGCAACTCCGACACATCAGCCCACATCAGCGCGAGCGATAGTTCCTTACCATCCAAGACATGCCAGCAGCTCAGTAGTGCAAATTCCAAATGGAGTCCTATGGCTGAAGACATTCCAGGGATGTATTGCATCTGAGTGGTGTGAAAAAATGAGATCTCGGGCTGTTCCATAGACCCCCTGTCATAGATAGAAGTTCGTAGATCCCCATGTATTTAGAACATGTAGACAGAAAACCGTGCCACAGTCATCTAGACCCGGGGACCACTCTACATCAGTTGCCGCTGTCCTTGCCACCACTCACTAGGCCAACCACGCGCATGGCCGAGGAGTTGATCTGCCTCTACATGGGTTATTCAGTTCCAAGTGTTTTATTGTTGTTGTTTTTTTTCACACATATGTATACAGTATATATATATTGTGTTTCAATGTTTTTCATATATATATACACACTGTATTTTGGTAAATATTCACAAAAGGATTGGTAGCTTCCTCGCCCACGAGGTTCAACCAAAACTGGTTGGAGACCACTCCAATGAAGACAAGGTTCACCTTTCAATGTACCTCAACAACCAATGGTGTCCACACCAAAAGAATAGGGTGTCCTCACCCTCGAAATTCGGTTGCTCTTATCCACAAGAGCCCAAGTCCACCTCGCAGCCTTTTCCTCAGACCATGGCACAAGCGAATCCTCACCACACCCGCCCTCGCTCGAGAGATGCGACAGCGGAACATCGGCAAGATCGAAAAGGGCAACATGCGACCTGGTTCATTTCGACATACAACTTATTTTCTTTAAGTGGTCTCAGCATGTTGACCGCGTGCGGATTCTCAAGGTTTGGTTGGATGGCAAAAACATGCACGAACACAAAAGGCATCTGGCTTCTATGAATTAAGGCGGGTGATATTTTTTTACCTTAAGGCTTGTTTCTTGCAAAAAAGACTTTCCCCATTAGTCATAGTTACACTATGCACTTTCTCAAGTCTTTGCAGTACACTCACTCCAGAGTGCCCCTCTCGAAAAAGCCCTGGCAGCTCTCACTTCGATGTGGACGTCTTGGCTTTTCCATCATCGAAGATCTGTGCATTCGATCTGAGCCATTTTAGTCTGGTTCTAGTGTCGGCTCTTTGTTTGGAGTTCGGATTCATCTTGGAATTTATACTTTCCAATTCGAAGTACCTCTCTTAGGATCGTGTTGTCCATGATTTTTGTTAACGAGTCCGCGATCTGAGCTCCCGAAGGAACCCATCTCAAGCAGATTCCGGTCTCGATGTGCTCTTTGATCAATTTGGCCTGTAGCAATGTTCTAAACTCAGAGCATGATGGTGTCGCAGTGCGACTCACAAGATCATACAAGCTTTTACAGTCCGTGGCCATGATTGACTTCTCTGGCTGGACTTTGTCAAGGAGTTCTTTGGTTTGGCACATCGTTTCGTTTGGATCGTGTAATTCTGTATCTTTGACTAGTGAGAACGCTGGTGGAAGTCT